CCGCGCAGCATCATTGCAATACCACTTTCACTGGATGGGGAGCATTTGTGCTTCTCATATTCCCAGGAGACATACCTCATTTTTCTGTCTGTCATGAAAAGCCTTTTAGTTCTAATGTTCAATGCCATTATGCAAGAACAGAATGATTCAGAATTATAGCATCTTGTGGTTTATGAATGTGGTGGATTAACACTATACCATTTCAAGGAACATATTTCTAAATAGCAAAAAAAAACATTCACTAATGTTCTCTTTTTCACATGACTGGACTTCTATTTGTCCCCATAAAGAGGCATTTCACTATTTCTGGCAACAGGTTATTACTTTTGGGTGATGCATGTACTGTAGTCCTGTATACTATATACTGTATAGAACACAACCAAAATCATAATTGCTTACAGTTATAGTACACTCATTTGGAAACATTGATTATGCTAGTTCCTAGTTTTGTGCTTTACATTTCAAACACTAAGATGATTTGTTTACAGGTCATTTTTAAGAAACCATAGATTTACTATGTAATTATGAATTCAGTTACTTTTTTTGGAATATTGCATGTATCTCTTTTCTAGAGCAAAGCAAATGTTTTTTTTCACATTCTTTTTATGTTTCTTAAATCATTTTCTGTCAGTTTTGGTGCACAAAATCAGAATTATGATGTCAACCACATAACAATCCACCCTTATTTTAAGCCTGCATACAATATATAATTATTGTTCATACTGATAATAGTCCATTTGGATAGAAAAATTGCTGCCATCTCTGGCACCATTTATAAATAAAGATAAAATATACACAGTACATGAGCACAACAGTGAAAGCTAAATTCTGTTTAATTACAGAATTTAATTACAGAGTTGAACATCAGCTGTTTAAGGTTCCACTTCATTAGTCTGACCAGCAACAATGAAAGGGCTACCCAGTGTCTACTGTATGTGCACATGCACGGCAGTTATAATTTAAATAAAATGATGGTTATCAATATTAATAGGTTTTTTTTTCTCTGATCTATAACCTGATAATAACTTCTAAACTTTAAACAACCATCTTAATTTTCTTCTATGAATGATTCTTTTTCGGTTATGTTTAAACAGTGAATATACTGTACACACAAACAAAATATTGGTTAATAGAATCATTTTTCATCATTCTTCTGATTTATCCTTGATCATCCCTTGTCCTATCTACCAGATCCTACAGTGTCCCCTGCTTGAGGGGACAGAAATTGAGAAGCTTTTGGCTCCCCCACAGCTAATGCATGCTAATGCCAATTTATGATATAAAGCCAGATGCACTTGTTGGCAGAAGATCTAAGAAAATTTCTCAGTTTTCACCTCCTTATGGAGGGCATACAACCACTAAAGTATTGCTGAAGAAATAGACACCCTGCCATTAGCCTAGACATTTTCTTTATCTCATGTATGTCTTTAATTCCCTTCTTTTCATGACCCTCCTGAACCCTGCTCATCATTGCCCTGACCTTTCCCACACAGTTGTCCTTGGCCTACTTTCTAAATTCACTCGACAGTTTGAGCTAATGGAGCCAACAAACTAGGGATATTTATGGAAAACGAAGACATCTGTTCCAAGGATTACCAAATATACACTCTGGCCTTCCAAATCTCTCATAAATAGTCAAACATTACTTTTTAAAAAGCCCTTACTATGGCCATTACTATGCCCTTACTATGGCTACTATACTTCTATGGCTACATATATTAATGTATATAATTAATTATATATTCGTATTATTGAATTCAGATAGAGTATCTTCATTTCAGAGACACAAATAAAGATTAAAAGCCATTTACCCTCAGTGGATTCCAATGACAGATAATGTGCAGGTAATTAACGGCTGTCTGAAAAATGACATTGCACCCATATTTTCTTTGTAACTGTTTTATTCTTAACCACAGACTGAAAGGTAATTAATGCTTTTCAGAAGTAATATGTCACCTCCTTAATTTGTTTTACTGCAGTTAAAAATATTCTGCACTTTGAAATGGTAAAAACATTCTGGAAAAGCAAAAAAGCTCTTTGCACACAACATGAAGGGGAATAAAACAAAAAATACAGCATGTAGATTGACTGTCAATTGATATTTTTTTGTAAATTGTTGTTAACTTATTGTTAATTTTGCTTGAGTAGTGGTGAGAAGGAAATTATTTTCCTGTCCCTTAGTGAAAAGTAATAATTTTCTAAGTGAAACAAGTTAGTTCTAATTGTGGTGATTCTGTAAAAAGACACTCTGCCAAAAACAGATTAATTTACTGCCCAGAATAACTTCAAACTATCCCAATGATCTACAGTACATGAGCAAACGTTTATGTAGACAATAAAAGCAAGGAGAGATAGAGTGTCCCCGCAATTCTTCTCAAAAGAAGAGCTTCCCACACTCAAAGGAACTGGAGTCATGACATCATAACCAAGAAAAACCATAAGAATCTATATGTACTTTCGGTATATTTTGGAATTAAGAAGAGAGATATGTCAGTATGGTTTTAAAAAATAATCCTAGTTTTCTTTGAAAAAAATGTATTTGAGTTAAGAATACTTTCTGCCTTGTATGGCCAAAACATATTTGTTAGTATGCTGTAGATGTAGATGAATTGTGATGGGGGTTTTTTTCAAATGAATAAACCTAAATCTAAATCTTGATTCTTTACTTTAGCAAAATAGAAGTGTGAATATGTCGGGTTACATTGAATGGAAATTCAAAATTAACTTGCACATTAACTGCTCCTGATTCTGACCTATTCTGTACCCACAACAAAGTTTTGAAGCCTTTCTCGTAATTTGATATTCCTTCCCATCTCGCTTTTCATCAGTTTCATCAGTCCTCAGTGTCAGTGAGCAGAAGGAGATTTCTCTGAAGACGAATGCAGGATTATGTGCCATAGTAACATAGGTTTGCTGATGCGAATCTTTCTGTATCACGGGTTTTGAATTCCCCTCTCTATTCTGATTTGAGCTTACCAATATTGGAATTTAAACATGATAATTCTATGTGGATTTACAGATTGAATCCAATGGTTAATAAGACATATTTTTCTCTTCTAAAGCCACAGGAAGATTGATTAATCATAGACACACAGCACATTAACGTCTTATATTACGAACACTGTTGACAATTTGAAGTGTTCTGACACATTTTTAACCACAGTTTTCTTACCATAACATAATAGAAGTTTTATGCAGTATAAGACTAGAGGAGTTATACAGAAAGTTCTTTTCTGCTAACATACTGCAATGACGTATTATGGTACATTTTTTCTTGAGTCTCTAATGTCCTTAAAGGCAGTTATTACATAATATTAAAATTGTTTTTCTTATACCCCAGACACAGAAACCACTGTAGGTCCCTAGAGGAATAATACACTAATTCTAAACTCTGTTTCAAAATCTGAGCAGTATTGTTATTATTTACATTATAGTCAGCACTCTAATATAGTTAAAAAATAAGTGGATATCTGTTAAGGATAATGTAATTTGGAAACTTAAAATAATGTTTCATTAAACTTTGGATGTTCACTTAAACTGAGAGTTTAATATGAAAATCATAAAAATGCCTCTTCCTAGTATGTACCTAAAAGAAAATATAATACAGAAATTATCATACTGTAATTGATGTACTGTAACTTTCAGAGCTAAATTCTGTTAAAAGTTAACTAAAAGTTTAATTTATTAAATTAAGCAGTATTATTTTATATTGTACAACAATACAGCAGTATAGTATGACAAAGATCTGCCATTGTAAAAGCAAATCTCTAGTTTTATAAATGTTATGGTTACCACTGTTTATGGATTCTTGAAGTCCATATTTGTGTAATTGGAATTGTTTTATGTGAGGTAGAAAATTAGGTTATTTGTACTTTAAATGTTAAAGGGAATAAATCATTACAAAATATAAATACAGCACATTTATCATATTTTGGATTACAAATTACCCAAATAATTTTATATTTGCAGTGAATGGAATTTTTTCTGGACCACCTGATCCAGATAAAGACTATGATAGCATATAACATATCTTTTGAAAGGATTTAATACATTTTCTGTTTTCTTTTCTTATGTCTTTGCCTCCTGACCCTAAGTAACAGCAGTGAACCTCCTTTGCACCTGCTCCTGCTGTGGCCTAAGCATTAGGCAGCCTATGAATGGAGAAAATTGTAGTATCAAATCTCAGTGCCAACTGTGAGCCAGCACCATTGTCAAATCCCTGCTGAGAACTGTTCCCCTGTCGAAGTTCCCCAGAGAGTTTCCAGTTCTTCCCTGGTTCCTGCTTCCTTTTGAACTATGACCTAAGGCCTTTCTCGTTAGCTCAGTGCTGTGAAGTAGATGAGGTGGTTCTGGTGCATCAGTGCTCTGTACAGACTCGTTAACAGACCAGAGTTGCCCTCTCAATGGGTCATCTAGGTGTCATATTCAAATAATTAGAGAATTAATAGTGGAGGTAATTTTGTAGAATGCCCCTTTCATTGGTTGAACTCTGAGAAAGAATATCTCCCTAACTAAAACATGAGGAATAACAGAGCTATCTTTAGCTATCTACATTTTGCTAATTATTGGATTTTAACCACTAGCATTGGCATTAAAAATGTTAATCTATGAACAGCAGTGTAAGAGTGCACAGAAAAGAGGACTGCAGGGCCTTTTTATTCATAACACTTCTAAAATCTTGGCAGTAATTCAGGTTTTATAAACAAGCACTGCACATCTGACCTTTTCCACTGGGTGAAACTAAATCCTCTCATTGTGAAGCCAAGAATAATTTTACAGCAAGTGGTATGGATAAAAGATTAATTAATGAATAAATAAAATAAGTATGCAGTAAGGGTTCTATTGCTTTGAAAAACAGCTGTGTTCCTTTCAACAGGAAAAGCACAAAGAAGATTGTATGGTTTACAACAATAGAAAAAGTGCTTAAGAGCCTGGTCACCATTGAAAAATACTGAACCAAAATAATCCTTAATATTTTACTTCCATTCTTTATTTGACAGGATTTCGGAACAGGCCGAAATCACTGAAAGTGTTTGTGAACCCAAACAGCCATAAGAAAGAAGCTCACCAGATCTACAAAGAGCAGGTTGAACCTCTGTTTAAGCTTGCTGACATCAAGACAGACATCACCAGTAAGTAAATTGTGAAGTCTTAAAGCACTGTAGTGGCAAATGTGTTGTATGTCAACAAATTGGTAACTTTAAAGCAGTTTCTGTGTTCAGAAAAACAGACTTTGCTCAAATGTCAAATTTTTTATCCCCAGATCTTACATTTCAGCAAGAGACATTTGCTCTAATGTAATTTATACCCTAAGGCTTAACCCACTCAAATCACTTGATTACATATCCTAATTTTAATAAAAAAAACCTACAGTAGGTCTCTTGTCCTAGCTTTCATGAAATTTAACAATTTATGATAGTTAAACACCAGGAAAGAATAAAGGTATTGTTGTAGTAACATAGTGAACAACAAAAAAAAAAAAAGATGAATCTGAAATTTAATTATTCATAGTTTTAAACCTTACTTTTAGACTGGGGGAGCATTCTAACTCTTGACTTCCGTGTTTTGTGCCATGCTTTGTCAACACTGCCATCATAATTTGTCACATTTTAAATTAGTTTATTCCTACCTGAATATACAGATTATAAAGTAGTATGAAGTTGAAATGACAAAGAAAAAAAACGCGGTTCAAATTACAGCAATAAAACATTAATAAAAAAAAAATCAACCTAATCTCTCCAAATGGGGTCTAAATTGACTTAATATTTTTAACATTCTGATATAGCTCCTAGAGTAGGATATGTTTTTACACTATGGAGGTTGGTTAAGATTGGAGTGTGAGATGTAAAGTGCCTTAGACAAACAGTCACAGAACATCTCTCAATAACAAGAAACCTGACCCACTGGGAGGTGCTTTGCCCATCTGTTATTGAGGGGTGCAATATATTGATGTATGTGAACAGATTTTAAATGGTAAAGGAGATTCCACAGTTTGGTAACTAATGAACTTTGGTATTTGATCCCCAAAGCTATTTAAACACTAATAAAATATCCATTCTAATAATGCATTCCCATGTCAACATGGGGAATGGTCCAGGTAAAATAATCAAAGGTATTTTTGTCTAATAGAAATTAAATATCTTACGTCATTGGGTTTCAAAGGGAAATTTTACCTTTTGTTTGCATTTTTTTGGAATACCAGAAGTATCAGAAATCTACACAGTACAGTACAAGTCAGAGCAAGCTGAGTGAAGTGGTTTGCCCTAGTGAACTTGAAATTTGTGAAACTACACGGTTTTTAAAGTTTCAAACAGTGAGTTGTTGCTGTTCAAATAATTAATATCTACAAAAAGACTGAAAAAGAAAATAAGTGGTGTAGTTATCCTATATGTAATAGAGCACAAAGGAAACATACATTTAAAATCATATAAATTATGCTAAAAGGGTTCAAAATGTTTAAATAATAACAATGACTAATCACATTTCATAAAAATAAATATTTTCAAATTTTATTTGAAATGTTTCCTTCAAATAATATTGTTGTACTTTCATCAAATTGTTGTGGAGCATTCACTACGAGGCTAATGTACATTATCATTAACTGGGTTAAGGTGCAATATACAGTATATATACAGTATCTCTAATTGTTATGAAACTTTTAGAGACAATAATTATAGTTGTATAACACTATACCATATGTTACAAATTAACAAATGAAATTTTACAACAGAAGAAAAGAATACAATAACCTGAAAATCGGGAAGATTGAATAGGGTGTGCACAATAAGGATATAAAGGCTGTACTCTTGTACATGACAAATGAATACCAGAAGGGAAAAGTGTCGCTTGGTCTCTGTTTTAGTTAGCAAACACTCCTCCTACAGGTTAGCTGCTAGAACTACATGTGCAGTGTGACATAATAATACACCTCAATGGTGGGGCATTAAAATACAGTCCTGTTCTTCAAACATGGTCATCTGGAATCAAAACCTTTAACATGATTTTTATTGTAGGACTGTAATATATAATATTTCACAAACATTTTGAACAATAATTCACATTGTTTCTTTTTCTTATTACCAGCTCAGCTAAATGAGGAAAATTGTGTTTACAAACTATTAAAAAAACCTTGCTGGGTTATACTTAATATGTTTTAATTTATTTAAATTAGAAATGTGTATTAAACCTTTTAATATTAAAACTTTATACAGTACTTTGTAATAAACTTACAGATGTACTTACATTTATTCTCAATCATCTAAGTATTACCTATACGTAAAGCTCTCTCTCCCTAGTAATTAACAAACTGGGACCTGTTCCATCTCTTTTACTGTTCTTGAAAATGCTGTGAAATTACCACTTAATTTACACACATGCAGTTGAATTGGATATATCTAAACATGATACTTTCTAAACATATACATTCGTATTGTAATCTTAATTAGTGAAACTGTTTTACTCTAAAACAACGTATGTCAGCCAAGATTTTTAGGTGTTTGAAAAGCAAGCACAATAAAAAACATAAGTGCAGTAATCTGGCCTTCTGAACATTTTAAATGCTTTAATCTGACATTAAACAAATATGCTCAATTGTAGTAACGTAGAGGAATTTCTTTAGAGGACATTTCATTTGTCCGCCTCTAATTGTGATTCTGTGGTTTTCCTAGTTCATTTTCTTTTAAAAAATAGTTTGAATATTGTATCATTTTTAGAAAAATTCTGGAACCACACTGGTACCCAGGACAGACAACCATGAAAAATTAATGTAATCTTTCAGATAATGATGCACATTCTTACACAAAAAATCCATCTGCAAGTGTCACGTCAGTCAACAGAAATCTTTGATGGGTGGATGCAGCTGGGCCGTCTCTTCTGGCAGAGCTGCCCTAGAAAATGCTAAATGTGGTTATGATGCTCTGTGCCATCTGCAGCATGCCAGCTCATCCCATCTTCACTGGCATTTATAATGCCATGTAGGGCATAAACAGCACCCGAGATGGGAATGCAGAGTGACAGATCCAGACCCTCTAGAGGATGTTGACTCTGGTGTGTAGACGTGCCACCCTCCCTCTCGCATCCTTCTCTTTTGTCACCGGTGTTTGGCTGCGTTTCATGTATCTGAATGCGGTGGCCTTTTTAATTATTTTCTTCCAATATCCACCTTTGGCTGTTGTACTTGGTGATCGCATAACTACAGTCCTTTTGATCTTCACTTCCAAAGCTGAGCGGCTTGACATTTTTCATAGGTGAAGCCTCCAAAAAACCCTCTTCGGCATGGCTCCTTAGGCTCTAAAATAAGGTACTTACATGTGTGAAGGCAAGAGTACTAATTTTAAATTATAAACTGACTAAATGTGGGTTACAACCAAATAATTAACATAATTGAGGGCATTACTGACCTTGTTTTGCATAAATGAGGGGAACCACTCAGCTCAGGAGGCAGACTGTTTGTACTAGTTCTTTTTTGTTGATTAAAAATGCAAACAACCAAGTATAAATTCCGCTTTACGGCCTGTACCATATGTTCGTTCTAGCTATTTGCCAAGCACTAGTTAAAGGTGCTAAAGGCAGTGATTGCCTGTCTTTGCATTTCAGAGATCTTTTTTCCTTATGCACAATCCCTGCTTTGTAGTTACAGAGAACAAGGGACAAGCTCTTTCAATTCTGAAAGAATGCAAGCTGGATGAATATGATGGGTATGTTGAAAAATTTATACATATAAAACATGCATTTAAGGCGAAATTGAAGATTACTAAAGCAGTGTTGTAATGGTATCATTTGATGCTTTATTTATATGACTGCACATTGGGTAAGTACTAGTTGGGCTACTAATTACCTCTAATTCAAGTAGATTGTTCAGCCATTGTGTAGCACAGAAAAAGCAAGTATCAGAGCACTTTACAGATAATACAAAAATGATTAAAATAAATTTAAAAAAGAATACAATTTCCATCTTACAAATGCATCATTGTAGCATTATTCTAGTTGATATGGCATTCTGGCATTATTCTTATAGCCTTTTCTCCTAGGCAGTACTTTAAATATAATAAATAAACCAGTATTTGGGAGAACTGCTGTATACAAAAATGAACAAAATGCTTTGATTAAAATATTGAACTGTTTGCCACAGCAGTGCGGTTTCTGACAAAAAAGCCTTCTCTTCTATGACCACAGCGGGTGGGACTTTAATTACCTATTTTGGAAGCAATGATAAAGTACCTTCATCCAAAGGACTGCTGGTATTAGAATTTTATGCCATGGTATAGCTCCCATGTGTCTACATTAAAGTCAGAATTAGCTCTTCTTAAATATTTCCTGCCCTTGTTTACTGAGGGTTGCTGTGGCACTATGGTGCTCAGCAGTGGGGCTGCCAATAAAACACAACCTGCCCACCACTAAAGAAAGAAGCACAGGGTAGACATGGCTCAGGCTCCTGGCATGCACACACTCCAGCACAGCCTTTGATTAAAAAGGAGGATGCAACTGCAAAAAGAAACAAGGATAAGATAATAACTACATAAACCCCACACTACAAAAAATCTCACAAAATGTGTCAAAACAAAGCTTAACTGTTGGACTAATTAACCCATTAGTTAATCAAAACAATTAAATGGAAACAGTATCTAGTTAGTTTCCTAGGCAATTGCATACAGTACATACAATTTGCATGTATAAAGTATGGATTCAAATTTAGCATCAATAATATTTAACAATTCCGGGATGTCTCACTTCTCAGTTTCTGATCACTCACTTAGACATCCATATCCTGCATGTTCAGAATTTTAATTGTTTAAGGTTACTGCCAGTGCTACCTAAAAGCTCACTAATGTCATTTTATTTTAAAAAAATCCTTGCATTTGTTTTCCAAAGTGCATTATAATATACTGTGTAGGAGAGGACCCCAGTTCAACTACCACTGATATTGCAGTACACATTTAGGTAATACGGTATGTAGTAGATATACCATAATCATCCTGGAGCCTCACGATAGATCAGAGCAATTGGAGAATTTAGTTCAACAATTAAATTAGTGTTATATTTTAGGATGGTCTCTTTAAACAAGAGCAAAGTAGAGTTTAGTCTAGCCAACACTGTTAATACCCTTTCTGGTACAAACACTACTACAGGATCTTGATTTACCTTTTCATCCATAAGATGACACCTCCTACTGCATAGTGTCTCCACTAACAATACTGGGGAAATAATGAGATTCTGGTCCACCGAGAAGAGAGCCACCAACACCACTTATAGCAGCAAAGTGATTTTTCTTAGACGTCTCCCATCCCAGTACCAACAGGGCTCAACCTTGCTTAGCCTCTGAGGTCTGATCTGTGCAGTCAAGACAAATGGTAATGCAGCTGAAATTATTTTGTTTTGTTGTTACGCTGAATATAAATAATTAAGATAAAACATTTAATCTATCAATCTGTTGCCAGATATCATATTTATGTCTTGTTAGGACACAGAAGCTGCTTATCCCAAAATATTCTCTTTCTATTGTTTACAAACCAGGATAAACTGTAAGCAGTAAAATCCATGTCAATATGTATGTAATGAGATTTTTTATTAGATTCAATTATTAGCAGATATTAGCAAACAATCCTTAATTTCCACTATAAAATGATTGTCAGCTTTATTAAACCGTACCAGTATTTTAAAATTTATTAAGAAAGCCAATGAGACTGTGATGTCACTAACATGAACATTTTGACAATCATAACATCATAACTATCTGAAATGTTAGCATATTCATGAGGATAATCAGTTCTCGAATAAGATAAGAGAATGAAAATATATAATACAAAATGTACTGAGTAGTGCTCTATTGCACTGGTTGTTTTTTTTAATGGAGTTTTAAATGAATGTTTAGAGGGAGGTCAAACCCTAATCTTGAACCGTTATATGCTTACCTATGTACAAGTAACAAATGTCTACCTTAGTTCCTTTTGCATTTTATTTCACATTATACTACTAAGTGGCCAGTAGCCATATCACCCTGCAGCTGTCAACTGGCTAGCCACTGAAGCTAAGAAGGGTTGAGCCTGGTCAGTACCTGGATGAGAGACCTCCTGGGAAGCTGTTGTTGCACTGGAAGTGGTGTTAATGGGACCAGCGGGAGGTGCCCACCCGACGGTCTGTGTGGGTCCTAATGCCCCGGTATAGTAGCAGGGACACTATACTGTAGTGGGCGCTGTCTTTCGGATGAGATGTTAAACCAAGGTCCTGACTCTCAGTGGTCATTAAAGATCCCTGGGCATTTCTTAATAAGGTTATCTCGGTGTCCAGGCCAGATTTCCCCCCTCGTCCTTTACTGTGGCCTTCAAATTGTCCCCATGTATGATTGGCTTGCACTTGCCTAGCGATGGACTGGCGCCCCGTCCAGGGTGTGCCCTGCCTCGCGCTTGTTGCTTGCCAGGTAGGCTCTGGCTTCCTGTGACACCGTATGGTATAAAGCAGTTACAGTAGGTTAATGACACGACTACTAAGTGCTCATTTTAGCAAGAGAGAGACATTACAACTCTACATGGATATCATCTTCTTTCAACTGCTGGAAGGAAACCAAACCCCAGCACTCCCACCATCTTAGGAAGCCTTAGAACTCCATCCCAATTTGGAAGTCAAATCTCCCCAGAACCCAGAACTCTGCTATGCTTGGCTTTCTCTTTCATTTTTGTCCCCATATACATTGTTGAGCATCCTAACTCACCATGACTTTGACTACAACAATATTGTACACATTTTCATCTCTTTCCCTTTCCCCATCCACCTCTTTCCTCCTCTTTCCTTTCCAGGAATCTGCCCGGCTGCTAATATATGCTCCCTATTATTCCCTGTTTACTCCCAGGATCAGAACAAAACAGCTCCTTGCTCCTTATTCACAGCATTTGTCACTGCTAGCAACTGCACTACATATTCTTCAGAGCACCATACTTCAAACCTTCACTCTCACTAGCTGGTTTGGAAAAGTTGTGAAGGAGTCCATCGGAGCTTTGATATCTCCTGTTCTTTATTCAATCTAAACTATATCTTGGTTCATATTCTATTTTATACTTTAGAATTCTGTAACAGCATTATGGGCTCCTACTTGCTTCTTGCTTCTCAAGTCATGCCAATAAAGCAAACTAATAAAAATCACATCTCTACTTTGGTTTAACAAAATTAGTTACTTAAATGTAAACACAAAGATTGAGAGTTTGAGAGACAAACCCCAATATCAACCACTTCCTACCTTCGTATAAATACAGAAAAACCCTCAGTTTAATGGACTGATGGGGTAAAGGGTATCTGCAATTGCTTAATGTCCGTTAAATCACAAATAACATTTTGTTTCAGGTAAAAACACACTATAACAGGAGACAAATATATACTTAATATACTGTATACTTAATATACTTAAATATGCTTTCTAGATCCTTTGGTCTATTTTTTAACAATCGCAAACAACACAGTCAATGAAACTTGCTCCTCTCCCTACTGCATTTTATCCTGAATGTACAAACTATTTATTTCATGTATCATAAATATAGTATATAAAACTTGCAAACTGTATAAAACTTACAAAAGCATATGGAGCACAATCCACACCCATCTTGAGCAGCTGAACTACCCCTATAAGGCACCTTTCCTATACCTAAACCTATTTAATATTTATTTGTACCTTTATTTTTACATTGTTTTATTCTTTGTGCATTTCCCTGTTACTGTGGGGAAGGTCCAGCATTTCTGATTTTACAGAAAAAATTCTCCTTTAGTAGATTTTGTCTGTTAAATCTGAAGTCCACTTACTGCATCACAATTCTAGTTTACCCATTTCATTTCACATCCCTCCCTTCATACCCTCCTATCTTTCCCCTTGCTGCAGTTCCCTGGAACACACCTCATGAAATCATTGAGTGAAGGGGGTTCCAACAGTAACGTGCTCACAAACAGGTTGTCTTTCTCTCAGCCATGAAAGTTAAGCCGGTAAAACATACTAATTCAAATCACGCCTCTAATCCATCTTTATTAGGGTTTAACCAAACTACTGAAATACAAAGCAGAACCATGCCCTTCTGCATTACAGACAAGTGAAGACATCAGAGACTGTACAATCGAGGTCTTCTTGTTATGCAGAACCTGAAGTAAACCGCTCCTAAAGGTGGCTTTTAGTCAGGGCTTTTCCCTGGGGAAAAAGAAAACACTTTCTAAAAGAAAAATGTCCCAAGCATTTCTTCATTGATGGATCTTTACAGGTTTGAATTAGTCCCATATCTTTTATATTCTCCTGATTATAAAATGAGTAGATTTTTAATCTTTGAATAAAGTAGCACTTGCTAGTGACAAAGAATTTTCACAGTAATAAAATGTGTAATATAAAAAGAATGTTAAAGAGGTGGCACCACTGCTTTGGTAGCAATTACTGCAGTCACACATTACTGTTAATTATCAGCACCTCAAATTAAGACCTCTTATTTATACATGATTTTTACTGCCTTCTGAGCTCCTGATGATATATGGCAAATTAGCATTATTTTATGGCTTTGGTTCTTGTTAGTAGGATGTATTTCAAGTGACAGAACATTAGCCTAGGCCAAATTAGAATTATATGCTTCTTGCCATTACTAGAACATGACACTAAGCTTGTGTAGGTCAAACCCTTGTTTTAGTCTTCCAATTGCTCATGATTAATAGGTTATATACAGTAGGCATTATTATGATTTTGATTGATTTGCAGTAAAATGCCAAAGAAAAAAGCTATTAGGTTTTACATTTTTGAGCATCTTTAAAGGGTATACAAACATACACACTAAAACACACTTTATCCAGTAATCTGTGTACACAGCCCGCAATGCTATTTATTGTACATGTACTAACTAAAACAGAAAAAAATAGAGTAGAACTGACCAGGTAAAAATATTAGAGTTTAATAATTTTGAAAATGTAGTTGGAATGTGACTTAGTGCAACACTGTTAAAATATGAATCTGTATTCAGACGTGACTGTTATGACTGTAATTTGTTCAGGCTATGATGATTGTAATTTGTTCATTAAGTCGATATTTATATTAAACAAGGTATATAGAGTACAGTATGCATTTCAGTAGCTGCTAGTGAATGTTCCAGATGTTATTAATGTATTACAAAGTCGGTCCTGTATATTGATGTCATAGTTTAAATCTTTTTAAACATTAATGAAATTCTCAGGGAGGTTGCAACAGTGAATTGTGTTAAGAGTATTGGTCTCAGATTTGGGACCTTTGAGGTTACACAGTTTCATCCCTACAAAATACCAGTAATCCATTAATTCCTATAGGCCATTGAAGCTAAACTAATCCAGCAGCCAATTGGTTAGGTATTGTTAAAAATAATTTCTAAAATTAGAATAATCTTCTTTTCTCTTCAGTGTTCATTTATCGGTAATGTGCTTTAAACAGATTAGTAGGATCAGCCTTTTAATGATTTATTTTGCAATGGAAATTTTAAACTTTTCTGCCTTACATAAAAGAAAAATATATAGCCTATATAAAATATTCCAAAGCTTCCTCTGATATGCATTGTGTTCTAATTTTGTGTTACATACTGATTGCTCAATATACTCTTTTTTCATGTGAAATATGATGTGTGTTTAAATACTGTAAGGTTAGCCAAAATTAAACTGAAAGCAGACTACTAAGAAGCAGGTTCTTTTGCTTAGTTTTTTGTATCAAATTTCATTGCTACCTTTTTAGACCTTAAAAATGTAATTAAAAAGAGAATTAACCTTTTTTGTGCACTTTTTAGGATTACGTGTTTAGTTAAATGATTAATTGGACACAAATTTATAATGTTATTATCGGTTTACCTTCTATTTCTTGCGAGTACAGTCATTACTCATGTTTTGTTATTGAACCGGGCTCACAAGGTTTCCTGTGCTGTCCCACAGTGTGGTCTGTGTTGGTGGGGATGGCACTGCCAGTGAGGTAGCCTATGGTTTACTTCTTCGGGCCCAGATGGATGCTGGGAGGGATACAGATTCTATCTTCACGCCTGTCAGAGCACCACTTCCTCTCGGCATAATACCAGCAGGTGAGTGGAGAGTATGCTGACTCACTTAGTTTTGCAGCTGTCCCAAATCTTTATCTTTTATCCTCCTTTTAAAAGTTTTACCTTGTTTGAAATTTGTGTGTATGTTGGGGAAGGGGTTAAAGTATATCTCTTCAGATTTTTGCTCATTGGATATAACAGTCTTTTACTAAATTCCAAAAGGTTTTCTAAACTCAAAAAAAGTGACCTTGGCTGTTAGGTTATAATTGCCACTAAAGTTTAAGAAGGATCCCATCTGCCTGTCTGTATAGAGAGAATCATGCTTTGAGGCAGATTTTTTTTTTAACAGCCTCCTTACTTCCTTAGAAATGGGCAACAAACATTTTATGTCAGGAATCACTCCCTACAGTATGTTGTGCAAGCGACAGGATACTGATCAGTCAAACACTCTTTTAAAAGTGAAGCCATGCACATACAGTAGAACAGATTTGGCAGAGCATATACATGAGCCAAAAGAATCATGTGTCAGGATACAGAAGCAGGGACTACATTTTCGGCCAACAGTTTGACCTTCACTTGTCATTTTAGTTGCTGTAAATGGAGTGTTGTTGTTATGTGAGATGGAAGCTCTCCAACACTGCACTCCATGCAAATTGGACGTGCTTAGGTCACTGTTTCTCTTCATTAGTACTCCCTCCCCAGGGATTATTTGTAAACAGTTGTTCGTCACAAACAAGAAAGATAGGTGCACCCCAAGGAATATATTTATAATACTGGTATTAGGTCAATCAGCAGGGCAGGCTTTGACAATTAACATTTTTCTTAAAGAAGTAGAATTTTTATAATGAGAGGGCTTATTTAGCTATTTTGTTAAAAATAGCAATACCTTCTTGATGGGTTATAAATATCAATTGTTAACTAAATGTAGTACATCTTCCAAAATATTAATTATTAAACATGCAGTGAATGTATTGTTTAACATACATTTTTTTGTGATTTTTTGTTAGTTCCTAATTTGGAGTGGCAAAGTACACAAATATACAATTACAAATATATTTTAATTGAAACTTGTATTAGAATGCATTAGGATTTACCTCCTCCTATATTTTTTGGGGGTATTTGATTTTCAGATTTTATATTGTAAGGGCTGAAAATGTAAAAAAATAATAACGAGTTAAAGTGATTACTAGTTCAAGTAAATGTTTTAAGTAAGATAATTACTGATAAACGAGTGCAGTGGGAGCTTAATTCTGACTGTCATAGAATGTTGATGTACAAACCAAAAGCAAATAGCTGTGCTGTTGAAAGGCCGAATGATTGCATTAAAAAAAAAACAGATTACACGAATCTGCCCTAAGACTGCAAAATTTAAAACGGTCTCTTCCATAATTCGCAGAAAATAAACATACTGAATTAATTTTACCGCCTTTTGTAGCCGTTAATGAAGATAATTCCTACATACACTACCATATTTAATATCAAGCATATAAACTCTTGGCTTCTAATTAATTTGCCAGGTCTAAAATGTTTCATGGGGACTGTTAATTTCTTTGATATTTCAGGCAAAGGACCAAAATGTTGGTGCAGTTTTCATGAGAGTTTCAGATATGCTTCAGTAGCAATTCATTGCATCACATTTATCTGCTTGAATGTGGGAGACATTAACAGCCTTATGAATATTCATGCAGTCTGGTTAATTAAGTTAATTGTTCTGCAGAAGTGCTTGCACTTCCAAGGACATTTTTTTTTCACAATTTCTGCATGGTACCTTCATCAGTCATGCTTTACAGGAACTGCTAATACTTTTGTCCTCACTCTAGTGCTGTTGGCACAGTTAAGAAAAGGGTGGCATTTGGCAGGAAAATGAATTGGGCAAATTGTAAAATTACCATTCTGGGTAAAAATATGCTCAACAAATAATAAAGGCAATAAGCAGCATAGACAGGCAGGTTCAGTGAATAAATAATTTGGAGGTTCGTAAGTGATAGAATTCAGATACATTTCTTCTTTCATCTAAAACATTTTCTTGAGTAGAGAGTAGTATATATACAGCTCATACTGTACAGTACAGGTACATGTATGTATAATTGATCATTATGCTCAATATATAATATAGCACATACAGGTCACTATTTATTCTGTCAGTTTTTCCCAAGATATGAACTTTGAGCTGAACATTTAAATTGTTAGTTGTAAATATGTGAAAATATTTGGGATCACATTAATCATATGAATCTTTAAATGTGTACATATATGTGTTAATATTAAGCCTGTCAAGGAAGAGATTGAAAAGATACAAAATTAACTGATAAACAGATACAATAGTTTGTATTGACCATTGTTGTAAATGGCCAATGCACAACACAAAACATTTTTTTTCATTATTTGCACCACAGTCATTCCCATTAATTCTAATATTAATAAGTTCAATATGCCTTTTGCTGAAATATCTGTCATTAAAGGCATGCAAGTAAACATTAAGTAAGTCAGGGAGAAGTCAGAAGTCAGAGCTCTGGAAAATCTAGATTGTGGTCAGATTGAAAGATAACCACTTCTCAAAAGGTTATTTTAGGATAAAATCTGGGTTAGTCTTGTTGAATCCTGAAGGTACCACATTTCCTATGTTAAATGTGAGGGTTAGCGTGAGCATTTTTTGTATTGTCAACCCATTGAAGCAGGTGAGTGTTGAACAAAATGGTAACTTCTGGATTCCCCCAAAATCTCTTAGAGAAACAGGGTGAGATTACTGATGCAGATTACCAGTGATGTAATCGTCATACTTTTAATTGTATCTATTTAATGTTCTTCTTAAGATGTTATTGTACCCTGAGATGATATGCAGCCAATGAAGTGCTTTTCAATAAAATGTTATGTTTCACGAAAAGCTCTTACTTGGGTGTTTAAATTTTGACTACAAAACTAAATTGCAAATTTACAACAATAATTGTTCAGTGGTCTTAGTCAAATGTATTATTATTTTTTATAAAGTGCTTGTCCACAATACATACAATTATGGTATTCCTTCTATTGTTTCAGGATTGATTGTAAAAAATACATGCAAACCATGCTCAAAACCTACAGTACAGTATGCCATTTTATCAGCTATTTTCCATATTCTAAAATATGAAGCAAAGGGCCTTCAAAGTGGATATTAAGTGCAAAGAACAGCAAGCCATTACTCCTCTCCTCTCATGCCCAAGCTGCTCTCTCCATGAAGCTGAGATGATGTGTATGCAGGGGTTGGGTTTAGTTTTCAGTTTCAGTGATTAACCTGGCATATGGAAACTCCCAGAGAAGGAAGTAATTGACAGGTATCTGCAGAGCTGTTTCATTTGGGCTCTGAATTTCTGCAGCCTGGGAGGTCACATCAGTTGTACATCACACTCACTATTGCAACCTACTATGTAGGTGTCTGTGCAGGACACATCGTGCCAAAATTGTTAAAACAACAACCATTTTTTAATTGTTTAATACGGATCATTTTTATAGCCTATTGAATTTAAGCCAGAACTGCAAGATAACCATATGAAAGGAAATGTCTACTCACCCAGCAAGGACACACTGCTTTCCTGTTTGTTTCTCCCTTGTAATCAGACCAAATACCGACACCTGTTCTTTAGTTACTACAGCCAGAATGGTAAATGAGTTTAACTGATGCCAGTTAATTTGGAGTTACTCAGATAGGGTTTTTTAACTGCTCATCAGTAGAATTTGTAATGCAATTAATAATAATGCCGATCTTTATATACTGTATATTATATTACATGCTTTCATAGAGTATTTAAGGAAACTGTGCTATCAGGCACATGATATTCTAGTTTGAAAAAGCTATTATTATTTAAACTACTAAAAATCCAATTTATTTCCCAATTTAGGGTGAAGATTAAATGCAAAAAGATGCTAGCAGAAAATTTGTCATCATCAGTTTATCATGGGAGTTTGCAAAATAAAAAGTAACCACTGTTTGTGGGGCCCCTTGCGGGAAATTAATTAGCACATGATTGATCTATTTAGAATAAATATACAGAGGAACATTAAAAATGTAACAAATGTTAATGAATTTAAGACTCATTCGATGTTGTTTAATATGTCTGTCTCTATATAAGCTGTGTTGGTGTACAGCTATTCAGTGTTCATCTTCTGCTGCTTTTATCGCTTGAAATTTGTCCGAATGGAAAAGAGATCACTACCTATAGCTGCATGGTGTCATGGCAGTTACTGCTGCAGGCTTACAGCTATGGGGTCCTGGGTTTGATTCTGGCCTTAGGCATCTGTCTGTGTGAAGTGTGCGCGTTTTTGCCATATTGGACATTGGTTTTAGACATATTCTCCAGTTTCTTGCCATCTCCCAAAGACATGCTGTGTAGAATTAATTGGCTGTTTCAAATTGTCCCATGTTCCATGGCCCTGTTGTGAACTGACATCCCCACCAGGATAAGCATCTCTCTAATAATGGATAGATACTTGGATCGCCTGTTGTAAAGCTGTATTTGCCTGATTGAATTTGCATTATTTATAAGGTTAACCTTAAACTTTATGAAATTATGTTTTTCCATTTCTGGCTGTAAAATACAACTAAATTGGCTATAAAATGTGATGTAAGCTTTCAGAGTACTGTGTCATATTTTTGAAGTACATTAATAAAAAATAAGCCAGTACTGATTTTGAATCAGTAACTGTACAAATATATGCATGAAGGAAAAAAGTCAAATATGTTGCTGTTAATTGAGGGCAAGTCTTTCTATGATTGAGGGCAGCATGCTGGTCCAGTGGTTAGCATTGCTGCCTTGCAGTGCTGGGGCCCTGGGTTCAATTCTGGACCTTAGGTGCTATCTGCATGAGTTTGTATTGTATGTTTGCATTGGTTTTTGCCAGTCCAAAGACATTCTGGTAGTTTAATTGGCTTCTGGGAAAACTGGTCCTAGGTGTGAGTATCTTGCACCTGTTTCTTGGCAAGATAGGCTTTGGCTACCCTGCGACCTTGAACTGGAAGAAATGGTTAGAAAATGGGCTAAATGTATGGATGGGTATAAATGGATACAGTATATAAGGGACAGTATGTAGCATAGTAAATGGTTCACAAAGTCTGTCTTCACAGCTTTATTATTTAAAACATAATATTAATGTTTTGCAGAATACAAAGAACACATTAAGTAAAGCAGCCAGTTTTAATCTTCATAGTCCTTATTACTTTAGAGAATATTACTTTTAGATACTTTTAGAGGATATAACTTAGCAGGCTCTCTTTATGTCTTTACAGGTTCCACCGATGTAGTTGCATGTTCTGTTCATGGAATAAGACATCCAGTTACTGCTGCCATGCACATCATCATGGGTATAATTTCCTTTATTTAATATATACATAGATGTGCTACTGTATGTCACTTAAATGTCTAGCCCTGTATCGTACACAACACTAAGTGTATCAATATTCAATGTACTGTATACAAAATGAAATTGTTTAAAATTTTTTTAGCTATTTTGGCAATCTGTAGAATCAGAAACAGTTTCCATCTTTGTAACCATGAATGACATTCAAGCAAGATTTATCTAGAACAATGTGCTGCTTAATGCAAGCATGATTTCTTTTTGTCAATTCACAAAGCTTTTTTCCTCTCTTTCTTGTGTTCTGACTGCTAGATGTGGTAGCAGGTCACATGAAACTGAGCTGTTACATATAAATAATCCCCAGGGGCCATGTGTCAGATGTATCTCCCAGAAAATTGTTTCATTGAAAGGATCATGCTTTAATTTGCATACTGCATGTATTGCCATACGGTTGTCCTTTTTCAGTTCTTAACCATGCATTTGGTTCCAGAGCCTGATATTCCATGCAAAATTATAATATACTTCTGGTTATATTTGCCACTTTTAGTTCTGTCCTGCCTAGGATTCTCCACTGTGCTGGTATTCCAGGCCTTGCTATGAAAGACAGTTGACCGCTTGCTCCAGCTTTGACTTTCACGTTTGGCATGAAATTACATATGTACCATCACCAAACTAGGGGTTTAAATATAATTCCCATGGAATGAAAGCTTAAATGACAGAACAATGGACAGAAAAGGCTGTGCTTTAATTTATCATAGAATAAATTAAAAAATAATTTTGCATTGTGTATACACCAATCTTATAGGTTTATTTTCCATTATCCACTTTCTATCATTGAAAACACTAATTGGAACTTTTTACTACTTTATATATTACTTTTTATTTGGTATATGTTTGATATAGGTATATATTAGCAAATAATTTCATTCCCATTTCTTTTTCGACATTCTTCTCATGAAAGAGTAGTGAAACAGTTTTGTGCTGAACAGCAACCCCTAGTGGACATTGTCTTATTACCTTTAACATCTTGGACAAAAGACACAGCAAGGCTTAATAGGACAGAACAGCACAATATTGAAAGGCAAGTAGAGACTATTTGCAGCCTAGTGTTGCAAAGTATTACTTACATGACCAAAAAAACCAACAAATGACAAATTAATGTTTCTGTTGAATGCTTAAAAATATTTACATTTACGAGCCATCAACCGTTTATAGCCCAGCAATCAACCCAATAATGACCTGCTGTACAGTATATGCTCAAGAGAGTTTCTTTTTTCGTTTTTTGTTTAGTCTTCTGTTTAATGTTTTCTTTCACATAGACTCTTCATTAATAATCTTTAACCGGGGTGATCCAGAGTACAAGGATTTGCTGTTTGGACAGTGCTACTGCTTGCTCTGAATCAAGTTCAAAAAAGCATATTTTGGAAAGACCCTGAAAAAAAAAACACCGGAAATATCTGCTTTTAAAAGAGCTACAAAGCAAGTGGATTATATATCGTTAGTGTGTTTTTGGAAGCGTAAGGAAGAAAAATCTGAAAAGTTAAAAATCAAAATTAAAAATTAAAACAAATAATACCCAGATAGCAAAAATGCTGATCTTAAATAATTATTAGTATCAGTATTTTAGCCCCAAAGTAGACTCAGTATGAATGTTCATCCTTGGGTGTAGTGTCATACTACTGTATGTGTTCCTTATTTTGTAAAAGTTTACATCTACAGTAGGTTACAACAGTAGTGCAAAAACATGACTTTAGAGTGAAACTCATACAGTTATAGCTATTTGGGTGAAAACTACTTAACTGATAGTATTAATGCCTGTTGATGTACTGTATATGGATTTCATGCTTCATCTATCGCTTAGATGTTTTTTTCTCTTTATCTATGCAGCACTATCAGTCTTTATTCCTGAGTCCACTTTCTTCTTGGACATAAGAATGCTGCAGAAAAACTGGTTTTGTCTCTAAAATAACTATTGCACAAATGGACACCTTGAAGGAATAGGAATGGAATTTTAATTTAGGGCCAATCACGGGCTTTTGAATATTTAATTAAGGAAACTTTATGCATGTGAAAAAAGACAACTGCTGTGATTTTCAGCACATTAATAATTAACGAAGCACAGTGTCTCCCATATATATGGGAGGCAAAACAAGGTCAGCAACCTAATGATTTTAAAATGGCCAACTGATAGTGTCACCAGATCCATTGGCGCTGTACAGCTTTGGAAAAATGGAACAGATTTCCCTTCAAATTAACAGTATTGAACATATTTACTGGGAAACATCAGGTTTACACGCAATATCAAAGTTGGTTACATTATAAGAAGAATTAGTGAACAACTGATTGCTGCATATGGATGTGGTGTCATTGTGGAGGGCTTGTTTTGAAAGATGTGAAAATGTCAGAATGTCCTATCACCTAAGTAGCTGTATGATACATATACTGTACTGATGTTTAGAGCTATTAAAGTAGTCACCATCACCCTAATTGGAAGTTTTCTTTCAATCTGCAGGACATCTCCAGTCGGTGGATGTTTGTACGTTTAGTTCCCACAGCAGGCTGCTCCGCTTTGGCTTCTCAGCTATGTTTGGCTTTGGTGGGAGGACTTTGGCCTTGGCAGAAAAGCACCGCTGGATGCCTTCCAACCAGAGAAGGGAATTTGCTGTAATCAAAACACTGGCAAATCTAAAGTAAGCAGGATTGTTTCATCCATAAGGTCTGTCACCCTCTTTCTGAAAGTACAGTGACACAGATGGAAATCTTCTACCCTTTATCTGAAAATCTGGCTCTGCCTACAAGGGAATTTTACCCATTTGCTATCAAAAATTTGGTATAGCTACAGAAGATCTCGTTTATCACACATAGATTAATCCCTCCCGGGGCAAACAACTTTCCAAAGAAATATCTTTGATGTGTTAATTTTCATCTCTTCCTCTTTTTTTATATTTATTTTTAGGCCTGAAGATTGTGAATTATCTTTTTTACCTCTGACACAGTCCCAGAAAGTAACTGAAGGAAAAAGTAGGTAGGTGACCAAACAAGGACTTGCACATCTTTATAATCTTGATTGAAAGCCTGCTATAAACTGAAATGTAATTATTTAATCACTAAAGGAAACCCATCTCCTAGTTTAATTGCCTGCAGTGAAGCAATCAAAACAGGTAGAATGCAGTATGTTACTCAATTAATACAATTGCCTAAAATAAGCATTGCCTTTAAATTGGTTTGTTTATTGCTGCATATGGAAAAACATTATTATAGTCTAACAGCAATAGGAGATACACAATTTTTCAGAAATTGTTTGGGCATGTAATAAATTAAATGTAATTTTAAACCCATACAACACTGCCTTTGTTTTACCAGGTGCTTATTTTAATCATATTTACATGTAAATGCTCCTGTTATAACATGTCTTTATGTTTTTAAACAAAAGTTGTTAAAGTCATTGATATGTTCAAAGTTTGAATGCCATTTTTCAGGACCATGGTGGAATACCATGTGCCATCTCATATTTCTGAGTAAATCACTCAGACCTTAGACACTGTAAATTGCAATGAAGAAATCTAAATCATTGAGACATACCTACAGTAGCTGTGGTGAGTGCTCATGTTACATTCCAGAGGGCTCCTTCCTGGAAAAAGCTAACATTCTTGAGTCTTTGTAATTGTTTTACAGAAATGACTCTACAAAGGATAGTCCCCCAAATACTGGTATGTACACATTTTTAAACTGTTAGTTTATCGTATCACTTAAAATGTTTTCCTTTTAATTAAATATTTTTCTCTGTGACTTGGATTAGATGATGAAGAGGAATGGCAGAAAATAAAGGGCCTTTTTCTAAATATCAGCATCATGGCTATCCCTTGCCTGTGTTCCATGGCACCAAGAGGTCTGGCACCTAATACTAGGTCAGTGTGTTGCGTGAGGAATTAGTTTAAAGTCTATAAATTGTGACATCTTCTTTGAGATTTTGGCCTGAGTCCCAGAGATCCATCATTGGCCCAGGGCAGTCTGAAGCTTCTGAGGATGAGGACTGTGGTGGACTCGGTAATCTCAGGGATTGGAATCAGTAGCTGGATCAGACTGCCGAGGTCAAGGCGTCTGACTGGAATAATCGGTAGATAATTACTCTGATTAAATTGGGTGGCAAGTCAGATTTAAGAGCAGAACATCTGTCCACAGTCCTCAAGGGTGTCACTTAGCTTTGATTCTTCTTTGTAAATATATACACCTGTACCTCCCTAGAATGATGTTTAAATTTCAGTGTCTCCCCAGAGCAAACACAGAACTAGTTCTGTTAGATATGTCACAGAAAGAAACTAAAAATATTGATGAAAGTAAAAAGGGATCTGAAACACACCTCATTGCATTATATTACTGCTACTGTAGATACTGTATTTATTAATTTTATTCCAAAAAAATAATACCAGAACATATACAGTATGTTCTTATATTGGTGCATCAGAATGGTTTTCTTTCTGGACCTCAGGCCAAAATAGCCAATGGTTAATTAAGTTTGAGGTTTTAATAGGATGTTGTTATTCTTATAATTGTTGCCAATATTATTTTTCTGACAAAATGTACAGAGCTCCACAATCCTCAGCAGAACAAGGGAACTGAAGGTGGATGAGTGAACAGACCTGTAGAAACAGATTTTTTAAATTATCCTGTATACGAACGCGAGAACTCATAGATGCACCATAAACACTTTTCTAAAACAAAAACTGATTTGTTCATGCTTTTTCTTTAGGTTGGACAATGGAAGTATGGCCCTCATTGTAGTGCGGAATACTTCTAGGGCAGATTTCATAAAACATCTGAAGAGATATGGCAGCTTAAAGAACCAAGTAAGGGGGATATCTCTCCAAAGTGGAGCAAGACCTATTGAACTAGAAAAGCTTGTTGGGGAAGGAAATCCTGTAGCCATGAATATAGTGAACAACATTTCCTGCTTAAGGAGAATTAGCATCCTGTCAGGACAAATTAGTCACCGATTGTCAGGTTTTACTCAAACACTTTTCAGACTAATGCAGATTAGCTTTTTTCTGTACAGTCTGTCTACTCTTTTCTTAAGCATCTATTTATTAACCTACATCCCATTTATAGACTACACAGAGGATATACTGCACTGTGCTGTTTGATTTAAAATACTGGTATCATTTTTAGTATAATATAGGATGAGTAATAAAACAGATCAGTAGTGGTTACTATAATACGTATTTGCAATTTTAACATCTAACTTGAATTGAAAAGTGTTTTTGTGTGAACAGATAGAGATTAAAAGAGTTCAAAAGATTGCTGGGTGATGAATCATTTCAACTATCTAAATGATGGTATTATTAAACTGTTAAAACTATGAAACAAAACTTGCTTTAAACCATTAAAACAAATCAATATCTTATTAATTTAAAGTTGTACATATTGTGCTGTGTGATACTTTACTTTTTATACAAATTATATTCTGTTTTTCTTCTAATTTTGCTTATAGTCTAAAATGTATATATTATGCTACCAGAAAAAGTTCATTTTCTCAAGTGTTCACTAATGAAATTTACAGCTGTTCATAAATGAATGATGAATTAGAGATGCAGTATTAATTGCTGCATAATTAAAGTAATAATTTTGAACATGCTCCTTTGCAGCATTTGTGTTTCTAAAGTATCACATATAGCAAGTTTTGATTCTGAAGCAAACACCAAAATGACTGACATTCTCTTAAGCACTTGACACACAGGTTTCTAAGGTAAGTAAAGCAATGATTTAAATAGTGAAACATTTTATCATTTATTGTACATAATACCTATGGATATTTGTATTCATTTTCTAAACATATATTCTATACCCATTTCATAAAGTCAAGTTTCAACTGTAAACCTAAATATAATCGAGGAGACATGTTCTGAAGTTAACTAGGCAGCACTGGGCTCAGATTACAGAAGTGACTCGAAACATTTGACTTTGAAAGATCACAATCTGTCTCTTACACTTTTCCCCCACAGTTCAGCTTTTCGTTTGTGGAGACCTACACAGTCCAGGCTGTGAAAGTCAGACCACGGCCCTGGAGTGGTTGGGGTGATGACACCTTAGAGGAGAACGTGGAGATTGATTCTAAAAACACACCTATGATATCCTCCGAGGGAAGCTACCCTTGGAACATCGATGGAGACCTTATGGAGGCTTCAGAAGTGTGTATCAGGTAAAACAACCGTGACTAACCTTACTATCACTACTGTTGAGTCAAACACTTATTTACGCGTTTTTGACAAAAGAAAAACAGCTTAAATTTTCATGTATCTGAGTTAGGTACATTTAGAAATTGAAGAAAAGGAAATTGTATAGCTCTTTTCTTTGTTGGCCCTTTTATTTTCCAAGCTATAATGCATTTACATTCACTGTTAGGCATCCAAGCCTGATTTTTTCTGTTTCTTTCCCATTTTTAAACCTGTCCTTGGTTGAATATTGTGTCCAATTAATTCTAAACTGGGCAAGTATCACGGCAGGGAACAGTACAATTTAAGTGTGAAATTTGACTCCTATGCCAACCAAGATGGCGTCCTGGCAACCATTAAAAAATACCTTTAAAAATCTTCATTCTGGGAAGTTGTAAAGCAATTGGTTCAAAATTTAGCTTACATCATCTTCAGCCAATTCCCTAGCTTGAAAATGTTAGTAAATGAAATGTGTTCCACTTTCCAAACTGCTTTTGTTCATAAGTGTCTAGCCAATTACTTAGAACTTGGCTGGTATCCTATTGTATATAAACAATAGAATTCAGACAATGGAACTCTGCATAATTACATGACATTCTGAAATGCATATCTCAAGAATTCTGTTTCAATATAAAATAAGATGACTGTCAGCCACGTCTTTATGAAGACAGAGCAAACTACACCTCAAAATACATCCTTTCTTGTACAGAAAGTATACTGTATATGTGATATTTCTGTTTTTTTTTGACAGAGTGCATCCTCAGCTTATCACACTCTTTGGGGTGAACACAGAAGAAGTTGATGAATCCACTGTGAAATGCAGCTGTATTTAAATGCTGCAGTCTAAAGCAATAAAGGACTTGTCACTTTTGCTGAAAGACGTTCTACATTGTACTGCATGTAGCACAAGCATTCTTTTTCCCTACTTGTAAAGTTGCATTTTACTTCTAGTAGCCATTTAAAGATACGAAAAATACACACATTTTATATAAAAGGAGATTTATTCAAAACAAACTGTAAAAAATATACAGTAATTTATTTTAATATTCCAGTGCAGATGTCAATATTTAAATTTTAAATAAAACCAAAGGAAAAGTATAAACCAAAAACTGTTATACTTACTATGATTGTTTTACACTCATTATACTTATAAACATTTCATAGCGTCAAAGGCTTTTATTAAGAAAACAAATAAAGGAATTCATTTAAGGATAAGTTGTTCTCAAACTGAGCTTTGTTACTGACTTTTTTTAAACAATAATGTTAACTATACTTGTAGTAGAACATGTCCTGAACTGTAAAATACTGAGAAGTTGTTATTTAGTTTCACACTAGTCCAACTGCCTGTTCATTGTAACCTGAGTTTGTTTAAGAATAATATCCCATAAAACAAAACCTACAGTATATAAGCAAAGATAATTATAAAACATTAATGTTGAATTCATTACTAGGGTAATGATAAACTGTGGTCAATTATGGTCACTGCACAAAAAATGCTTTACTTCATCTTTTACAAATTCCTATACTTTGGATATCACTTCATAATTTTGATTCTAAACAAATACATTTTTAAAATATTCATGCTGTTATACAGTTCATTTTTTCTGTTATCTCCTTTTCTGCAGCATTCAGCAACATGTACTAAGGCATGGTGAACCTGTAGTAAACTATAATTCAACTGTAGTTGTGCACACTAGATTACTATAGTACATTATTCAAGTCAAATAGTTCTGTACAGTACATTACAAAACAAAATACCTTTATTTGATTTTGGTATACTGTACAATAATTGTTTGCCTAATTGAATTCTATTGACCCCGATTAATGATTAAACTATAATTTAAATATTTTACCAGGTCTATAACTTGTCTGTTTTTACCCCATTAAACCATGGTATACTTTAGGATCCTTATAAGATACAAAAGGGAAAATGTTCTTTACCTTCATTTACTGGAGCATTTCTGGGAACTTAGATTTCTTTTTAAATGTTATTAAACGAGAGACTGTCATGTGTGTGATATTTATCTTGATAAAACTTTGCATTGCAAAACACTTGCCACTTTTTGAACAGACTGGAACAAATATCTGTTATGTTTTTAATCCAGTTCATATAGTTTGCCATTATTGTGCATGCACATCGAGTCTATCAATCTGTTAGTGTCTTCTGGATTAACCTTGTATAACTACATAAACAAACAATTGTCTAAGTAATAGAGTTTAATGCTGAATTTTTAATTCCTGAAAATAAGTTTGAAATGTAATTAATTGTGGCTATCTTACCTTTAATAATTATGTATATGAGGACAATGGCTTTAATCTCTTAAAGCAATTACTGTAATTTTTTTTTAATTAAATGATCAAAGTTTAAAAGTGAACATTATTTTGTAATTGCATGTTTTTCATAACTAATTTGATCATTTCAATTGAGTGAGTACCTCTTTATTTTTTCCTACAATGCATCTGCAAGACTAAAAGGCACCATTTTTTCAGATTTAAAACCTTACAGTTCAATTTAAAGAAATTATCAAGAAGAAATGAAAGGGTCAATCTTTTAAAAAACCTGACTTATCTATCATCAAATATATATATATAAATATAAAATATGTGTAGGAAACACTTTTATAAACAGGTTCAACAGCAGTGCATTTTTATACAGCAGGCACAATTAAATTTATTACCACTTATTAAACTGAAATGTTATTTTCACATATTCCATTTTAGATTTTCATCTCATGAGGTATAGTATAATTGTATGATCTTTTGATGATGTATAGTGAATATATTCTAACGTATATAAGAGCTAAAGTGCATTTAATTTGTCCTGCTGACAAAAACATAAATTTGATTTCACAAGCTATGTATAATTATTTTTCCTTGTCTTTGTTGGTCTCACCATATTATTATGTCGTTTATTTTTGTGGAATATGATGGTTTATTCGACAGTGAACATACTGTATTCCTGGAATTTGAAGATAAATGGGTTTGCTTGAAATCCTAGTCCTATTAAAAAAAAGATCCTATGGCAGCAAATTTATTTGTTCTCCTTTTTTGTTGATGTGAAGGTTTTTGCTTATTTTCTTCATTGTAGCTTGATTTGCTTCTTCCTATCCAGGTGTTCGCTACCATTTAAAAATCTCGTTGTGTCAATAATCATCTTTAATCTTGTCTACGTAGTCCCAGCTTTCTCGACGTTGCTGTTCTTTCTCTGTTGTAAATTTTCTCTTAAAGAAACCCACCTATGAAAAAATATTTAACTTTACCGGTCAAAGCTTAAGATGAATGTTTTAATGTGAATCTCCATAAACATAAAAATACATAAAAATTATTTCTTTCAGCATGAAACATTACAACTAAGCCTTAGGTACTTTGTGACCTAATAAAATGTATTGCTTTAATAGATAAAGTTGATAAAGTAGTATTGTACATCATTAAAACCATTCATATAAATTAAGGAATAGATCTATAAAAATGTTTTCCATAAAAATGCAATGTATAATTTTAAAGGGTTTTTATCTTCATATTAAAATGTGACTTGTTTAAATTATAAAAATCAATTTTGGCACCTCTAGAGTGTCATAACTTTACAGCTTCTACTATACTCAGTAGCTTTAGGCATTTTTTCTAATTTACATAGAAATGTTTGAAATTTGTCACCAGGATGGCAAATACTTTTAGAACTTTCAGGCTTAAAACTAAGCCATCTTTTATACGTTTTATTTAGCAACAGTGCTTTTTAACCTACTCTGCTTTCTTAGTTGTGAGCTGTACCAAATCCACAGAATTCAAGAAGACAGGTAAGAGTTTTATAGACAATGGCAACCTGGTGTCAAAAATATGTATTCATCTACACATACTGTACAGAACTAAAGTATCATCATTGTCAGCATTCACTTAAAAACTGCTGGCTGTCTTGATCCTACTTGTGCTTATATTGTACTTTTCTGGTCTTGTGGTGCCATCTTACAGAATGCCTTCTCCTTTGAAGATTTTTCTTTCTTGGGGTCCCTTTAGCTAAATTCTTGGTCCCCATTGTCATTTTATTTTTGGCACTCACAGTTACTCCATCTACTTTTATTTTGTGCTTGTTTATTCAATGCCTCTCTGTGTTATCAGTAGTTTTTGTAACTTTGCTGTATTCAGCATCCAGTTTCACAGCCATTAACTAGTACCACAAGTGTAAGTTACTATGTTCATGATTTTGCAAAAAGGTCTATATGAATTAAAATATTAATGTGTAAAACTTTAATAGGATTTCAAATTGGATGCTTAGCCAGTAGCCATGTACTGTATTCAACAATGTAACAAGATAACATTAAGCAATACTGTAAGTCAGAAGACTAGTTCAAGACTATAACATTATATTGAGTAAATCTGCATACAAGAGATCTGCAGGGAGTTAAAAGTTAAGAAATATTGTTGAGTGCTTCATGTGGATAATTTGTAGCTCACAAAACCTGAAATGGGTTTTACTAAAATGTAATGGTAGTCTTGTAACACTACAAAAAAAATGCTATATTTTATTTTACTGTTATTTTTACTTATTACAATGTACGATAGGATTAAAATCTAAACTCATTAATATGCTAGAAATAATGACATTTCAACAACTGATTTGGGGAAATATTGGATTTGCAATTGAAACTTTCTATTTTAAGTTTGGGTAAAGGTAAACAACTACCTACACTGAAATATAGTATATTAAATATTTCTTATTTGACATTTACAGGAGATGCACCAAAAATAAATAAAAATGCATTCTAAATGCTACAGTATATGTAGCAGATGATTATGAATAAATGAGTGTAATAAATAATTTCACACTTACTTTCCAAAGAATGTATGTTAGCAGTCCAAGTATCACTAGCCCAATAAGAAGGCTTCCTGAAATAATGAACAGTCCTACACCATGTCTTGGCTTGTAGTCATGGTGTGCTTCCAACACAATCTGTAATAAATACATTAAAAACCTCAAGTTGGACATTGATTTAAGCCATACTGATAATATCTAGTTTCTTAATTCACCAAGTAGACAGACAAAAGATTGGTAAAGCTGTATCTATCATGAGAAGAGCATTACTGTCTGGTGCCCCGACCTTGTCAAATCTTATCTAAGCTAAAAAATGTCAGGTATTCAAATACACTGCATAAAAAAACAGGTTTCTACAGTGGTGTTAGTGACCATTCTTCTATATAGAACACAACTGCCAAAGTAATGCCCCAGTACATTTATGGGGACACTGTGCTCTTGGAGATGCCTTCTTTTGACTTCCAAAGCTTCGAATACTAGGTAATTAAGGATCACAATTCACCGATTGTAACAGTAGGGGTGTTAAGCTTAGTGTCCACACTAAATTCTACTCTGAACTTGCACAATCTGCTATGCAATGGGGTTTCGTGGGCTCATTATTGCTGCCTCATGTGCTAGATGGGTGCTGAGCTTCAGTGGTGGAAGATCCCCTTGTATGTGTATATGTAAACATCTTTGTTGAGGCTTAGCTCCATGATCAGAGGTTCAAGTTTATTGTAACCAGGATTCCCCAAGTGCTGCCAAGGGTCGAATGGGATTAGATTAGAGAATGGGCTCTCTCAGCTCTCAGTGATCCATGGAGGTCGGTTGTGTATTACAATTATAAGTTTGTAATAGAAATTCTTTGGGATATTTTTTTTTTCCAGAAACAACAATTACCATCGTTGTTGCCGGTAGTGGTGGTGGTAGTGGGATTGGCTTAAATGAGAACACTAAAGGTTAAAGAATGAAAAAGAAAGTCAGTGTTCATAGAGCCTCAAGAATGGTTATTGTTCATTTTAGGCTTTTGAGTGAACGGAAGCATAGGAATACCATTTATTTATGAATACTTACAGTTGTAAAAGGGTTGTCCTGTAATTTAATGATATAAGGATCATTTTTAGGAAAAGCTGTAGCTGTTGTTTGAATCCGCATTACGGGCGCCCTTCCCTAATTAAAAATGAAACGATGTTGAAAAACAAAATGAGAAAGAACATTTGAGATCAATTTAGAAACAAATCTATGTAGACATTGTGACCCTTAATGCTTTTGGCTCACAGATGTGAAAGTGTGAGATGGTCCCTAATGGGTCAGCCCACCTAATACACTGTATAACTAGCCATTTCATGTACTGCATCTACATGAACTACTGAAAAACAAAATAATAGAAATACTAAAAGATACCATATAACTGTAATTAAGCATTCAAGTACACAAATGCTTTGATTAAAACTTGAATAATACAAAACAGAAAATGAGGTATAATGTAAGACTACATATCAAAATGTGCAATACATTTATATTTATATTCATATTGTGCAATACGACTTTTTTGTGTACTGTTCTGTTCTGGTGTGTTCTTTGTGTGTTCTGGACTGTGAGTAACTCTTCTTAGTGCACTTCACACTGTACTGATTGTATTGTATGTATTGGTATTATTCTTATTGTATCATTCTTTACACCGTGGCTGTGTTGTCTGTGTTAAGCTGCTGTTGCACTGCAATTTCCCTCAGGGGATCAATAAAGTATCTATCTATCAATCAAGAAAATAATAGGATTATGTAGATCATGTTCTCACCGGAGAAAGTTCTAAAACAGAAGGATTAAGCTCCACTTCCAGGTAAACAATAGCCTCCTTTCCAATGTCCATTTCTCCAAACTCACAAATAATATTTAAACATAAATCATCTTCTTCCATACAGTACTGGTAAAGAAAAAACAAAACACACATTAAACAGAGTTTTCTTTTATGTCTAAAACCAACAAGTGAAAGGAAATATACTGTATATATATATATCTTGTGTTGAGAAAAAGTGAATTTCTTATCAAATACACAACCTCTATTAATGTGTTTTGTAACAATGTCATGACAGTTAGGCACTTGTGATTAAGAATTACTGCTTGTTGAAAGATTTTGTGCAAAGCTGCAAAACATGTTAGTTTACCATAAATCTTTTTCCTGTTTTCGAAAAGAAGAACACCACATCCTCTAAAAAGGTTGCCTTCGGTAAATCACACTTGTCGTCGTCTGTCTTGTTAATAACATTTAGGAGATGACACTGTCCAAGGGAGCTCTTGAAAAGAAAAAATAGATCTATAAAATGTTATGTAAAATGCAAAACCTGATTAGTTACAGTAACTCTCAATTTGGCTCATCTGTTCATTCCAGATAGTCCTAAATTAGTCCTATATTAATGGATTGTTCCTGTTATGATGAATGAATAGATCTAAATCTACAGTACATCGCATGTATAATACATATCTAACAATTTTGAATATTTCCAGCTTCATGGCTTATATTAAAAAACAGGTATCTATTTAGTACATTACGGTGTTATCCAACATAATTAACATTTATTTACCTACCCTGATATCCAAAGCGTTGAACAATTGGTATGGATGAGGTGCCAAGGAATTAGGTAAACTGATTTTAAACTTAGTATCTGGAGATTTGCTCAGACCAACATTAATTACCTAGAATTAAAACAGAATGGTAAAAATGAAGTGATGATATTGAATGGAGATCGATTAAATCTGTCATTTGCTTTATACTAGAACTAAAATACTTCAGTTCCTTTCAAATTATTTTTAACAAAAGGAGTATGTACACTCTATATGGTAATTTCCTTTAAAAACAATTTACAGTTGTAACGTCTCAGAAAAGCACAAAAATACCACATTTGAGATAATAAAAATATTAGAAATAAAAAAACAACAGAAACATACACTTGTTTGGAAGGATATAGTATAATTTTTGTTATATTTTATGCCTGGCAAAATTATTTAGAACTTTGCACATTGTTTTGCTTTTAATCTTGTAGTTATGAGACTTTGAAGTAGCAATTGATATTTGTTCCATTCACAATCTACTACACCTATTCAAAGCAAAAATAAAAAAGAAATCAATAATATAACACATGGAAGAGTCAAGAAAATGCTGATGTGTCAATAATATACAGTACTAGTCACTCCACTAACGGAACTTGAAAAAAACTCAAAAACCTCAAATCAGCACACATGGTGTTTGAAGTAAAGCACATAAGTGATATTGCAAAAATGGGGAAAATATTTTGTGCTCAGACAAATCAAAATTCATTATGTATGATGACCATAAATTAAATTATGCTGATAAGTCTTCAGTTTGAGTTTTCAGGTTTTGAATAAAATATTAAGTTAAAGAAATGTGTATGTAACATTTTGTAATTTCACAAAATAGAACACAATAAGAAGGATCTGAATAATTATGCAAGGCACTGTATTTAAAATCATCTAATCAATTTACTGCCCACAATTTCCTCCAGTTATAGATTTCCTCACTGTCTTACAAAAAATAGAAAAGGAGAGAATAAACATTTTGTTTGTTAGAAATAAAATCATTTCCTCACACTCTCTATATTTCTAACATGATCTTCTAGAAAGTTAGCTATCTTGTAGTTTTCCAGCTGAGCTCTCAATTACCTAATTCAACCCTTAATTGAACTAATAATTGTCTTAATTAGACCTTTTTAATTGTTTTCAGCTTTCATGTTAACTGTAACATTTTGTAAGCAACTTGAAATCTGCAACTTCATAGGAGATGAAAATAATTACAAAAAGGTCTAATTAAGTAAATTGTTCATTCAGTTAAGAGTTCAATTAAGTAAATGAAGGCTCAGCTGGAATGAAACACCAGAAGTCACTGGAGTCTGGGAAGCCCCACATCTTTAACAATCAAAAACCTACTCTAAACAAACTTTTAAACATGCTGCAAAGAGCCAGGGGTTGTATTCCATTCCTAATCAAGTTTAAATTGTTTCCAAGCTACTTACACTGAACGTGTAATTAAACTTCTCAGAATAGCAAGGACCCTCCTTCTCCTCTCCGAACACAAATAAGGATGGTGAAACAAACCTGCATTTGTAGGAGACACATGAGAATAAATACTACTTACATAACCCATGGTTCATTTTTTTTCCAGTGCATTTGTTCAACTCAACTCTCCAATGAAGAGTAGGTTAAATATTCTATTTCTAAAACCAACAAAAATGACTGTTGTGCTTGTGTACAAAATAATTTCTTAACATACACTAGGTATCATGCAGCTTCCATGTGTTTTTCAGCACTCTTCCAAATTTAAGAGATGTACTTTAATAGTATTTACTGCATATTCATTCCATTAATAGTCACTGACTAAACAATAATACGGTATATATTGTAAATAAAATACCATGAAGAAGACTTTACAATACATGTACAGTATGTTACAAGCATCACCATTTACTCAAAACCACCAACAGTGTCCTCTACATTTAAAACTTTGTTATCAACATGGTTTTAGTTTATGGAAGAAGAAATCAACCTTGTCATTTAGCAATCTTTGTTTCACATTAAACAGAAGCCTCAAGAACTACACCAGCAACTGATACGAAGTGTTGCAGTTGCCAATCTATTCGCCCCACTGTCACGTGCTCCATGTCATTAATATTGTTTGCAGATATAAAGCTAAATGGCTAATACAGATTTATCAGGATTAAGAGTGACATTAAAACAAAATGGTTTTCATTTCTTAGTAATGTTGTTCTAATGTTGTTTGCACAGCATACATAACAGGAGATTGTAACACTCTTGCTTTCACTGCAGTTTGATATACCCAGTTGCCATTTCACCTCACCTTGACCATCAGCTGATCTTTTTCTGTTCTGCTGCCCCCACCTCCCACCCAGGAATTTCATTAGGGAACTTCAGAAATATTATACACCCGTGGAAAAGGATGGCTCAGATCGGCTGCATTCACTGATGGGACCCAAGGTCCTGGTGATCATTATCACGAGGGGAGGAGAGGCGATCAATTTTCAACAGACTGCAAGGTTGCACGTTGACTAAGCAGTTATTTTCAGTATGTGTATTTTCCCAGTGAGGCACAAATATTTTGTGTATTGTGGAACTTTTTCTTTTGAAACGGCTATTAATGACCACCACCATGCAAATTCAAGGATATTCTCCTCAACATTGTCCTCAGAATTGCACAGAATCCAGCTTAGATCATTGCTGGCCTGAATGTATTGCATTCAATTATTTGCTTTTATCTTTTGCTAATGATTAATACACTTGCTCCAGGGTTTTCTGGTACTATAAGCTTTTTTTCCCACCCCATCTTAATCAGCTGAAAAGATCCATGATCGAGAGTTATACATTTTCACCTGCAATTGTGCTGCAGTAAACAGAAAGCTTTAAAAAACAACAGATAGCAAAAACAGTATTTCAAAGACAAATAAAACTGCTAGATCTTTATAATTGGCTCATTTCTTATGTGTCTGCAACATACAGAAGAATATCATTGTAACCTCTGAAAGCTGAACAACTATTTTCACTGGGCATGATGTATACTAAAATGTTTCACAGAATTAGGCATTTGTTCAGTTGTTTTTTACACACAATGGCTTTGCCAATATAACGCCTTTCCAGTGAGGCTGCTAAGATACATAACCCCAGCTTCAAAATAGGCATGAGATGTGGTTCACCAGAAACCACTGTTAAAAAGAGAGGTGAGAACATTCAAAATGCTTCTAAAAGAATAAGCTTACCCATGGACATTTAAGTCAACTCCATATCTCAATGGTAAGACTAGACTCACAAAGTTGTCATGTTGAAGGTTTGTATCTTCTGCATTGTCACTGCAAAAGAAAACATTTCACAATTTTTTATAAGCAGAAACTGGTTTTGGTGCAAAAAGATCAAGCCAAACTAAGGGACATTATCATTTATTAGAAATACTAATAATTTTTCAACTATCAAATATTTAGCCTGCACTGCAAAAATGATTTTTCAGATGGAAAGTGTGTCATTATGGAGAATCTTCCCTTTTAAAGCATATATCTATCTTTATGTTATATCTCACATAAAATGTGAGATATGTGAGATATGATGTGAGACACATTTTATGTGTTATATCTCACATAAAATGAGAATATGTATACAATGCCTTGTAAAAAGTACACAGTTATCACACTGTTTCTTTAAAGCCTTCAGTCATGACTCTTTAAAGTTGCACTGAAGTTTTGTTAAATACACAATCTACTTCATACATTCAAATAAAAAAACAAAACAGTAAACAGTTAAGGTGAAAGAAAATGTAAAACTCATATTTGCATAAAGTATTCAAACCTTTTTGCTGTTTGGCAAAACAAAATTAGAAAATGTAAAAAAATACCTTAACAAGCCACACAACTACTGGAGTGGCTTTTGTTTATGTGGTTCACATGATTTTGCAATAAATACACCTGTCTCTGTAAGGTTCCTTCCTGCCTAGATCAGGCTGTTCCTTCAAACTGAGCAGCTGGGCAAGGATGAAACTTGTAAGTCTTCAGTTTGTGCATTCAGGTTTGGAGAACAATGTTAATTTGTCAAAACGTGTATGCATTATTTTTTTAATTTGACAAAATGTGTCACTGTAGAAAGTTCGGTGGCTCTTTAATTAGAGTGAGGATGTCTAAATGTTAAATTAGTTCCTCTTTAAACCTAACTGTTACAGTGTTACGGAATGTATGGTACAGTAAATGTAACCATGCCTTTAAGTGACTGACCCCAGAATCAAAGTGTGCAGGGCTATTCACATCATCTGCTCTTGAGACCATTAAAAAAAATGCCACTAACCTAAAAGGCATCTCAAGGTCAGATAGCTAATGACTTGACTCATTAAATTTTTTGTTTATCAGTTCCCTTAACTCTGACTAAAACACAGCGCATTTATCTTTCAGGTAAGTAATTACATGTCTACATTTGCCTAGTGGATTGTTTAAATAGCATTTTATAGAGCTGTGCATGCAGTACCAAGACGCCATCTATAAAAAAAAACTGTCTATAAAAACAACACCTCTCATTATTTAAGCAGTTACAGTAGCTCCATATCTTGTGCTTCAATAACTTTAGAGATTGTGTGATAAATGTGTTGTTTTAGAACTATGCATTCTCATTTTTCCTAGCTTTAAAACATCTACGGATCTTCTTTTTTCCTGTTTCATTCCTTTATTTTACCAAGTAAAAAGAAACTGAGGAATTCATACAATGATGACCCAGAGACCCATTTCTACAGCAGGGCAAATACTGGAGCAATCTGAGTGAAGTATCTTGCTCAAGGGTACACAAGCAGAATTTGCCCTCCACTGCCCTCCAGTTTGTAGTCCAGGCTCTACTGTTGACCCCACACTGCTTTTTCTCCCTTTAATCAAAAAGAAGAGGATTTACCTGGTTGCATTAACTGTGATGGTGAGGTCCCCTGCACTACTGTTTCTGTTCACATCCAATAAGAAACTGACATTGACCTGAAATGGATTTGCAATCATCAATGTATTTTCTGTTGGAATGGCACTTTAAAAACTGAAATTCGAACATTATGTTCATCATAAGGAAACAAAAGTGATAATACAATTTTTTTCTTGTGCTGGTATAGGTTTTCCCACTCTGTTCAAACTGCCTACAATGATCCCACACTGCGGTTAAAGTATTTAAAGGGGAATAAGTGATAAGGCTCTGGCACGAATTCTGGTGTAAAGCAAAACTCAAACTCCCACATATTTCCCACACTGCAATTAAGAAAGTATTAGGTCACTGTATAATAACTGTATACTCCAAAACATTTGCCACTCTCATAAATTAGGCTTCTGAGTACAACCTCTCCCAACCAAGAAAAAAGCATTCCTCTTGTACTGCACTTTTACTGATGTGTTATGACACATGCTGAATGCAGCATTCAAAGTAGGGCAATGTACTGTACAGTAGGTTTGTGTGGAATCACCAGTTTTGGGCTGTGAACAACACAGTGTTAATCAAAACCTCTTCTAAACCACTAGGAAAAAAATATTCCTAACTCATTCATACTATTGAATGTAATCCCATGCCGTCCATCATTAAATATAAAATATTATGGCTACTGTGCAAAAACTTTTAAAGCATGTACTGGTTCCCAAGATTATCATCACAGACACAACATAAGGGAACATATGTTTTGACAACTGATACTGTATGTTTGTATAACCATTTGATTTTAGTAATGCACTCCATAATCTATCATTGAAAACATCTACTGTACCCTTGTAAGAGAGTTAATGTACAGATTCCCCACACTGCAGTCCAGTCCAACTGTTGGCTGTTCTTGTTCAGTGATTTCACAGCTGATATGCTTCTCTTCCTGAAATCAAATGCATATTTATCCACATTCATTATCTTTATGGATATGCTTTATGATATGAAAGGCATGTAAAACCTTAGTGTAACTCATAAAGGGTAAGAATTCAAAAACCAATCTCAGTAACTCACAAATGTTAAGAACTTCAAAATAAAATCCTTATACATGTATAATCAGGGAACAATATACTATACATAATTATAAAATCATCAAGCACAGACTGAGAACAAAGTGTGCAAATCGGCCATGTGTAAAAGCTGATACTGTCTATACAGTATCTTCATCAATTATACACTTAACTGTGTCAAGATGCAAGCGCATTGTGGATCTTACCGAATCTAAGACTTTAATAAAATACAGCATATTCGGGAATCTTATATGGAGGGCAGCTTGGAAGGCATCATCTCCTGCATTAAACAGACTCACGTTCAACATTATAGTCTTCCCATTCCCTAATGCAAAATACGACTTGCCTTTATGGGACCTGGAAGAGATACAAACAGGTATATTGGTGTCTCAATACACAGCAATTTGTATAACATCTCATTCAGATATATTTTAAAAAACAAAACGGCATTGTTTGCTTTATTTATCAACAAATACTTCCTATGCTATATCTGATAACATCACAGGATGTCCTACTTTGAAAACTGACATGTACTGTATATAAAATTCTGGCTTTTATCCAAAACATTAGTCACAGAACACCTTTGGGAAGGAAGCTGGCTCATCGACAAGCGGCAGAAGGTGAAAAAAAGATGGCATATAGGGGTTTTCAAGGTAATGGTGAACAAAAACAAACTACAATAAAAAATTTTCCTGTAGCTGAAAAAAGATTTCAGATTTCAGGATTTGAATTGCACTGAGGAAAGTCTTCCTTGCCACTTTATCTATTCTAGTGCAAATTATTTTTTTGTTTTGTTTAGATTTTGGTCACATTTTTCTATCACTTCATACTCCAACGCCTTTGCTTCTTTCTGGCTGATGGTGATGTTTCCATGGTGCTGCTGATGAGCAGCTCAGCAGCTTGGAGCGTCTGTGAGACCAGAGCACCAGGTGCGCATCTGGGTGTGTGACAAGACTCCACCAATGACACTTCTTTCTTATAAATAGGCAGATTTTATTTTTGAACAACAGTGGCCAACATAAAAACAAAAAAAATAAAAAAAAATCTATGAATGGTAGAAAAATAAACTCACACACATTTAAAATGAAATGGTGGAAAAACTGGCTACTGTATTAGCTCCTTTCATTTCAGCATGCATGCCGTGCTTTTTTTCTCTGTTGGTGGGAGGTATTTCACACTTGTGCTCATTCATTATAGAAAATATTGTTTGCAGATCAGGGGAACACAGTTGGTTGTTAATTTTTTTTTTCCCACCAGGAAATCAGAACATGAAGAAAAAACTTGCATTATATCTTTAAAAGTTTAATGCAAATGGATACGATGGTGAAAAAGTAAAGTAACTTAATGCTGCTAATGAACTGGCTTAACTGAAATTAAAAACTTGCAAAGTTGCTGCAACAAATTTTATTTCAGTTAAAATTTTCTTTATGGAAAATATGTTATATTTCAGAGCAATCTTCACACTGTGACACATCATCCATATATATTCTACATACCATTTCCATTTTGTAGCCTAACAGCTTGAAATCAAGCCCATTAAGCAAAAGGTGATTCCATAAAGGACTAACTTAGGGATGTGTACACTTATCCAACACATTTTTCTAGGTATTCATTTACTTTTCAGAATGTTTGATTTTTTTTTACTTGGAGGTTGAGTATTACACTGACTACATAAAGGTAAAATACATTCTGGTTTAATGTGTCTTGATTTCAGGCTGTTTGGTCATAAATGTTAATCTGGAAAGGGTGTATATTATAATCTATAGGCATTGTAGAGAATGACTTAAAGGTAATGCAGACAGGAAAACTATTAATATAATAAATGAATTACAGACAGATGCTAGGTATTACTGCTAGCTTTCTGTGGTACTGTAGTTTCACACATTCTAAACTAATGGAAACTTGAAGAAGCCCAGCAGATACTAAAGGAAGTTCTGTAAATGCTTTGTGGGGTTTTTTGTTGAAGTTATATCTGAGCGCTGTTCACTGAATTGAACTTTTTATTTCCTTCATAATTTGGTGATAAATACAGAGAATGCCGCAGAACACTTTGATTTCATCAGTATGAAGGCTGTCACGATCGTAATCCCTCCTCTTAAGGGCGCTCCGGCTCTTTCACATTTTAGTTGATTATGTGCACCTGCCTCCAATCCTGCCCCTCCTTATTTTAGCCGGGCGCTCTTGTTACTCCCGGTTCTGCACTGGAAAACGGACGCCTGGAGGCCCACCCACATTTGTGGCTTGAGGGCACAGGCCTCCTATCGGCGTCTTGACCCAGCTGAATCCGGGCCTCAGAGCGACTGGCCTCGTCATCCCATTTTTATTCCCTGTCCCTGCACCAGATCCCGTTCTGGGTTTTAACCTCGTCTTGTTTGTCTCATTTGGATCACCCGGATTTGGACCCTGGACTTCCCCCCGGATTTCCCCCTGAACTCCCTTGGACTTGTTTGCCACGGCTACGCCCCCCGAGCACCAGTTCACTGTCGTCATGCCCCCCTGTTTGTCAACTTGCCCTACTCGTCTCCATTCCTACTCCGCTCACTTCCAGATTATACCATCTGCATAGGGTCCAGAACTACGTTTCACGGGAGCCTGGACCAGCTCCCGTTACAAAGGCCTAATTACATTATACTAGTTACAGTGCAAAATAACAGAAAGTAAAATATATTCGTCTTTAATCGGTCCTCTAAACTAATCTACCAAAGCATTCAGCTTTTTAAATAATGGCCAAAAAAATCAACTGTTTCATTCGATCTGACGATGATACTCAACGTGATACTCAGATAAAAAATAAAATGACTTTGCTTAAGTCAGAAATATCCAACCCTATCTATAATAACAACGGATTTTGACATTTATGGAGACAAAATAATGCAAAAAGACCTACAGTAAAGTGAAACCTTTAAACAACGTACAAACTACAAAGTATGTGTCAGTGCAGTCTAGTTATCTGATCTTCCCTTTGAAGACAAGCTTGGTTTGATTATTCATTTTCTGTATGTAAGGCATACAGAGTTACTGTCTATACTTCAAAGACATCAGCCTTTTATCTTAAAAAATATAATGACGTTTCAGTTTATCTTATCTGTGGATTCATAACATGCAAAAAATTTTATTCCAAATTTAAGGAATCAATAAGACTGACCTAAGCATAAAGGATCATGGTTGATGCATAACATTGTTCTTTTGTTCTGATATTAATATACATCACGTATAGTAATTAGATCAAAATGTAACATTTGAAAAGAACTGAAAAGTTAAGTACAATAACATTAAAACAGTCACTTACTGTGGTAAGACAAGCCCTGCTGAAACCCGCAGATTTGTGGAACAGTTTGGCCAGACACAGTATCGTGCAAACATGGTCTGTACATAAATCAAAAAGAAACAAGAGCAATGAATAGAGTGTTCATACTACATATTTTATATGCACTTAATATCTGAATTAACTCTTAGCCTACAAGTGGTCCTTAACTAAATATGAAAGAGTTTTTTGTTTTCCCTCTGTAGTGTTGCAATAAAAGACATCAGGAGATTAATCTAAAACCTATCTTAAAACCACATTCTGGCAGGAAATAAAACAATCATTTCTTAAATACAGTGAAGCAGGCATGCCTGAGTAAACATATTATGACAGATTTTAATCACTGACATTAGGCCTAAGCAAAACTGTAAGATTGATCACAGACCTTATTACTGACAATATTGTTGTCTCCCTCCCTCTGTTGAAGGATGGGTTTGAGATCTTGGAGATGGCTGGAGTCTCTTTTATTCACCTTATGTTCTCCCAGCTGGTAGGTTGCCTCAAACTGAATTGGGGTAAAAATATCTCTGACTTCTTTCTATAACAAAAACAAAGAAATTATCATTGAAAATTCTGTAAGCAGAATTCTTACACTATGGTTTCACATGTCCACTGCATTTATGGTGACAAATTCAAATGTGTCCGACATAGACTGTTAGTACTGTATGTATCAAACGGTAGATAGATTACATTTTCTAGGCCTTCCAATGTCTTGCTTTTAGCCCCAGGGAAAGCTTAGACGTAAAAAAATCACTCCAGTCTTAATGTAAATATTTGTAAAGAACATTCTAAAAACACAACCAAGAACTTTGCATATACTGTACAAATATCTGCCTGCACAGTGCTTTGACATCCAAATCTCATATTAATAAATCCTGTTTTACACATTTAACAACTATAGTGGTGTTTACAAAATGGTTTCTGTAGTTGATCTTGTTTAATGAACGTCTGGTACCACTTTCTAAATTTCTAGAGTCTCCTATCACATTCACTTTGATCTCTAGTCTTTGACTGATCCATTCTCTCCTCACACTAGACGAATGCTTCATTGGCTCAAGTTAACTAACAGATCAGAGAAAAAAGCCTTCAAATCTTCATAATTTTAGTGGTTCTCTGTGTCATCCTAGAATTTAAGGTGTAGTACTTTGATCAATTTGAGCCTCCCAAGAGAAACTACTGACTTTAAGTACAAGTCATTACAATTTGAGGCTGGACTGAAATTATCTGCCGAGTAAGCTGAAACTATCCACCTTTGTATCTGAGCATTGGCATGATTTATATCTGGCATTTTCAGTCGTATGATTAAATCTTTTCTGCCAGATGCATGCACTTGTCATGTACCATATTATGTCTTGTTATGCTATTTATATTAGATTTGTTTTCCGGTCTTTTTCTGTATTTTTTCACTGTTCACATTGGTGTAATGTGATGCATGCGTGTTAGCCAAGTCGTCATTACAGATGTGAATTTGTTTTTAATGGACTTATCTGGTTAGTGTTGTTCTTCTTATTGTTGTTAATTACTAGAAGATGATCATACACAGAATAACGCACTGTATAATAAGTAGCAACAGAGAACCCATTGAACTGCATGCTATTATACTGCAACCAATGTCTCAAAAAGCAAACTGGATTCTGGACATTATTTATATTCCAAGGTGGAAGAAAACCCACCTTGTCCCTATAAATGTGACCCACTTTCATTGAATGTGGTCTTCTGTTTCAAATTTGAAATCAATGTTCTAATGTTATTATGTATTCCCAATAATTTAAGTAAATAAAATGACTACACCGTGACATTACCAAATAAATAACAATGCCCCTGCACGAAATCGATCCAGAAAATGTTATTGCTATACATCTTTTTATTTTCATTGTTACAGATGGAAAATTGTTGGGTGGTACTTTGACTGCTTTGTCAAAATGTAGAAGCTGTTCATCATTTTACCTCATGAAAAGTGTGAAAACATTAAGCCTATCCCTTGAGGTTGCTATTAGTTAATTAAAAAAGTTCACCCAGTCATTCTTGAAAGAAGCCTATATCAACTATGATAATGTGGATGAGAAAAACACAAAATCATGCTTATATACAGTAGATACTTGGCAAGTTACATTTAATGATGCAAAGGAACAAGTAATAGGTTTATTCCATGCTGAAAAAAAGAAGAAGAAAGAGAACACAACGTTTCGGCTGTGGAGCCTTCTTCAGGTGTGAAGAAGGCTCCACAGCCGAAACGTTGTGTTCTCTTTCTTCTTCTTTTTTTCAGCATGGAATAAACCTATTACTTGTTCCTTTGCAGCCTACGCATGCTGACGCAGCTACCCACCTGAACTACATTTAATGATGACAGGTTCAAAGTGATCAAAAAATAGTAATCCTTAGAAGAACTGTATAAGGTACATTAGATTCATGCTTACAAGGTGTCTATAAAACCTTGTTTAGAATATTGCTTTCATACTAAATAAAGGATTTAATTAACGATAGCCTTAAAACAACTTCTAATAACAGCAAAAAGAATGCTTCCTGGTCTCAGAGGATTGTCATATGCAGACAGGTTAAGGGAGATTTTTTTTTAGTTTAGATCAAAGAAGACCAAAAAATATTCAATCTAAATGTATAAAATCTTAAAGGATTTTTGTCTTTTATACCCAGAATGTACAGTATTTGGTTGCAGCCACAGTTTTTGTGATGTGGAGACCAAACATTGTGCACAATATTCTAAAAGAAGTCTTTTGAGTGTATTATAAGCTTTAACATGCCACCCCAGCAACATCATAACCACGTATTAATGTGACAGTTTTTATTTCCTGCTTTACAATACAAAAATGTACTGGTAACTGGCTTGTCAGAAAATTGACCCTCGTGTGATTGAATGCATATCTTTGTTTGTGTCACACATTTCAAAGGCATGGGAGAGCCAAAGCCTGTCTATAAGTAATGGGCTCAAGGCAGGATACACCCTACATGGGATGCCAGTTACTGCAGTGTACACACAGAAACAAACACACACACTCACACCAAGGCCAATTTTTCCAGAAGCCAATTAATCTACCAGTATATCTTTTGACTGTGGGGGGGAACTGAAGCACCTGATGAAAACCAGTGTTTTAACACAGGGAAAACATATAAACTCCATGCAGATAATGCCCCAGGAATTGAACCAAAGACTCCAGGCCTGCAAGGCAGCAATGCTAACTAGTGTGCCACCATGCTGCCCCTATTTTTGTACTAGATGTTTAATAGTTTACATATAATAAAGAGGTCTAATAGATGTGTAACTTCTTAATGTGTTTGACCTCGGCTGGCCTCCTTTTTATGGAACTCCTGAGACAGACTACTTCCTCAGTGTGAGCTCCTGTGGGTGGGTATGGAGCACTTTGCTAAACCTGGCACTTACAACTGATGTTAGACATTCACAACAACAAGTAAACAACAAGTGACTCCAATAGAATATTTAGTATCATGGGAACAAAAGGAAACAATTTTTCTCTGGTCTTCCTCTTGTTTTCGTCATACAGTATGTCATTTGACTATGTTGACCTTAGTCATAGCGATTCAAATTGCGTACACTTCTGTTTTTGACTGAATATTCAGTCACAACATAAAACACACAGTTTAAGAATCTTTTTAAGTTACTAAAAGACTACAGTAAATGCTACTTACTTGCCATATTGTATTTATCTATTGGAATATTACACAGAAAAGGGAAAAGATCCAACACTTCCTAAATGAGCAGTGACTTGTATAGAACTCTGGTCCCTCTCCAAACAAAATGGACACATTTGTTTCCCATTGGCATGTTCAGAGTGAGAAGGCCCAGATGTCACAGCATAAAGTAATGTTCTGTGTGTAATGTAATGTAAATATTTTTTCATACAAAAACTCCATGTTGAGGTTTTGTTATAGTTATAAAAAAAGAAAAAGAAAAAGACAACTTTCTGCTTCAGTATTACAGTCAATAAGTATAGCCTCTTTTTTATAACACATAACTTTTCAGTTTCTCACTACAAAATTCAAATTGTTATATGCTCCAATATTATCCTGGGTGAGAAATAACATTATGCAAAAAAGATCAGTTTAAATATCTAAAACATGTTTTGTGTGATTATCTTCTGTTATTTTATGGTTTCCAAAAGATAAAGAAATCTAGCCAGCTATGCAGGAATGGCACCACAAAGATGGGATATGTGGGCATAAGTAACAATTCAGATGTCAAGAAAAGGTAGCATTCGGCTTCAACTAAAAATATTCCCAATCTTTTACTACTTCTGATATATCAAAGAAAGAGATTAAGTACTGTGAAATAATCAAGGATGGCCAGGTATTGGCAGTCAGGAGTACCTATAGACACACCCAGAGGTCCTCAGAATGTATTTATGGTGTCCCCAAAAGCAAGAGCTTTGCACCTTAAGTCTAATAGACTGGAAAATCAGCACTTTCACATACCGGAGCAGATCTGCTCTGACTGTGTTTATGATGGATAAGTTGATGTGCAATTCTACTTCCGCAGTTGTTAGTAGCATTACAGCATTATTTATAATAGCTGTAGATCAATCTAATGTGACGCTTAAGTTAAGGAGTACTTACTGAGAGTGATTTGATGAAAAGGGGTCAACCAAAACAAGTTGAAGTGCCCCGAGTGTGACAATAATTGCAATGGACAGACTAGCAGACTGAAAGCAAAGGTAAAAAAAGGCTGAGCTAACACAGATATCTACACTATGCAGGAATCCTTGTGCATCCCAGCTCCAGTCCCATGTTGCCTGTGTGTGAAAACTGAACAGCCTGAGGCCCTGACGATTACAATAGCACACTTGATTAAATAATTCCCCCAGGTGTGGTAGATAGACAGCCCCTTGATTGTCCTTCCACATGTCCAGTGCTTCAATTCACATTGACAAGCTAGCTTTGACCAAATCGTGTGTTATCTAATTCATTATAATTTTCCACAAGGTCTCTGCTGCATCTGTTGTGCATTACATTCATTACTCTAATTATCCATTAATTATTCAATTCTAAAAATATATAAAATGTACATCAGCCATGCAGGGATTAGTCCTGACAGATAATCATACTTGTTTATCTCAAACATCTTTATAATTTTCTGTGAACCATCAGCAGCAATATATAATTTACTTTTAGAAATATGAGAATAACCAGGAAACCCTGGTAAAAGAGCAGTTTTGGAAAGTCATGCGGGTGTCAGCTTACATCTGAAATATTAACTCAAAACATATTTTAGTTATTTTGATAAATAAACTCTTTGTCAATAATGTGCCTCGATATTAATTATTTTGTCTCAAATTCTTTTGTCCGAGAAGGATTATTTTGAAATGGGTTGTCTGTCTAATGTATAGGCTAACACATTATTTAAAACATGAACCTATTTATACATTTCTTTTAGTTATGTCATAACTCAACAACTGTATCATATTATAGAGGCATCATTAATTTACGAAGGTTTCCTTTAGATTATGCCAAATCAATATGTATCCTGATTGATTTGTTAAATAATCACAGGCCCGAAAAGCCAGAACATAACTCCATCTTAACCTCCTGAAAGAGAAAAAGTTATATGACCTACAAAGACTACATATTGCAATGAATCCTTTAGCCTCATAAGCCCAGAAAAGCTTAACCTGGAAAATGGTTGGAAATTGATTTGAAACTAAAGCATGCTTCTTGGTATATTGATTTTACCAGTAAGCATTTGTCTTGTAAAAAAATTCACTTACCCTCATGTATGCTTGGTGAGTCACACAACTCATGCGGTTGTGCAAAGCATTTATTTTTCCTGATGTGCCATTGGAGGTCCCATTTCCAATAAAATAAAACCTGTAAGGAAATCCTTCTTTTCGGAGGACATCTGCAGTTAGGTTGTAAAGGAGACCTAAATAAAGAAAACAGAAATTCCAGGTCATAAAATACAAGGTTAGTACTTCTGTAAAGTATTGGGACTCTACAAAACTGCCACTACAAGATAGTAGAAAAAGAAGAATACATGATCTTGCAGTGTATGCCAATTGAAACTTAAATCATTTTGTTTAAATGTTTAAAGAAAAAAAATAACACTGAATAAATTTATTTTTTATATTAATTTTGTTTTACATTTTCAAAAAACATATATTGCATCTTTTGGTCTAACGAATCAAAAAGCAATACTATTTTTTCATATGACTGAATTATCAAACAAAATGTGGTTGCTGTTAAAAATAGCATAACTGATCCAAAAACTTAAGTGTGAAAACCAGTCAAGAGATGTGCAGTTTTTTTTAGACATTATCTTATAACTATCAATGGTATTAAAAGAGCAATGGCTTTTTGAAGCAAGCTATTACAATTCAGCAGCTGAACACACTTAAGTCAAAACTGTTCTTAGGGGATAATGTCTTTGTGTGCAGTACTTACTGTATTTAATATTAAATACATTTTATGTATTGAGGCACAGGACTAAATATTTCCACTCTGTTCTGTAGGTAGGTTTCAGAGTATTTAGCAAAACCACCATTGATTAATAAAAAAACAACAACACCCCAGACATTTTAACTGAATTTTTCCACAAGGAGGTATGGTCATGAGAGATAACAGCTGTTTTTGTCTTTATGGTACATTAATATATACTGTGCACATACAACTGTAAAAACATGAGCAGAATTTTAAAAAAAGAAGAGTTTTGTAGTCTGTTTTGCAATATGAATGTAAAAGTAGCAATACTCCAATATGCATTTTCAAACGAATATAAAAAAGCAAATCGACTACAATTAGTATACTAAGGATATTAATACTAAGTACTAGGATACTGTAAATGGACACCATTGCTATAATAAGAAGAAAGTTTATTCAATCATTTTAAAATATTGTCAGTGAACTTCATTTGATTTTATAGCTCTAGTTTAGCTAGCCTGTTCTCCTCTTAATTGTCATTTACAGTATATTTAGCTATTGTCTTCAGTTTATTACATGTTGCGAAATAGTGTCATTTTTGCTTTCTTTTAAATATTTTTCCATGCCCTGAGCCTGAAATAGTTTACTTGTGACGGCATGCCACAATGACCAGACCATTTTATTGGTCTTTTTCAGTGTGTCAGTTAAGGCTTTCTCCATAAAACTGACACACCTCCATAATTAACTGGCGTCTGACTGAAAACTGGTTTATCACCTTTAATTACCTACAGGAAGCCTTTGTCTTTCTTTTTTTTTTCTAAGAAAAAAAAAAACAAAGCACTCAATTAGTGTAATAACACTTAATGAGAATAATTTACATACTTATCGAAAAAGCACACAAACCTGAGTAAATACAACTTAATTAAAATCTCTATCTTTGGGTGGCAATGAAAGTAAAATGCACTACCTATATATCCTGGAATGTATCTGCCTTTGATCTGAAAGCACAGTGTGACATTCATGCAGACTGCAGGTTTTCCATTCTCAGTGCATGCCGGCTTTGTACGGTTAACAGATGGAGGGAGAATCATGGAGACTTCTACAATCACCACTGCACGGGTTCTGTCAAGAGTTAAGGAAAACACAAATAAGCCAGAAAATGAGTGATTCTTACTCTCACCCTTACACAGGATCAATACAAACCTTTTTAATGCTTTAAACCTTGTGAGGGGCAATATGAATATGTAAAAAATAAATGTATTCACTTAAACACAATATATAAATAACACCCGCAATTGATTCTGGAATTAGAAAATGGAGTGCAAATGCTTTAATATAATAAAATAATCTGAAAAATGTAGCGATTTTACAGTTAGAAGATTCACACTTGCTACATAAAGTCATCATAAGCAAGCATTTTACTAGTGCATGTATGAGGTTAACCAAAGTTTTTGTGTTCGCTTTTAATTATTTAAGATTTGTTGTTTTTATTCTCTGAATACTCAGTTCCCACCTTAGTACTATGGCAGAATCAGACAGGAAGGCACCAACTGCAACATCTGTAGAAAACAGACAGTTAATAAATGTAATTAGTTTTAAGACATCAGTTTCCATTGGTGGTACCCTCTATATGAAACTAACATTTAGTAATATTAAAGCAGTATTGTCTGTCTTTTTATCAGCAGAATGCCTCTTGTAATATTAGTCTCATTTGCCTTAATATGAGGCAGTTAAGTCACTAATACTTAGAATATTTTTAACATGATCTCCTATTTCTCTTCCCCCAGACCTGTTAAACTGATATCCTTCATACCACTATGAAGCCTGTTTGGCCTGTTTACTGCTGCCATCATATTGGATGTGCTGTAAAAGAGGGGGTTAATTTTCCATTAAAAAAATGACAATGTATTTCACTAAAACACCTTATCTCTTTCATACATTTACCCTTGAAAAAACACAGACACAGATCTACACAATTGTGTCTTCCTTTTCCTTCCTTGTTATAAAGCAACATTATACCATCTAACAATTCTCCTCTGCTTCTACAAGCATGTTGTTTGTTTATGGCTGTTCCTTTTTCGTTAAAAAATTACAATGTTAAAATTACAAATACTCTGAGAAGTTGGAAATAAGGATTAGATCTGTCAGTGATGAAAGAACAATAAGTAAAAGCAAACCTTTTTATGTGATGGGAGTTTGCATAAACACCGAAGGAAGATGCTTAAAAGAGAAGGGCTTAATCTAATGTTTATGCAGCGGGACATGGTCTAGTGCTGTAGAGAGCCCAATGTAACAGTTTATAACACAACCTCAATATAACACAACAATTGTCTTTTTACAGGTTAATTGTAAAAAAGAAAATCCTAGGAGATTTTGAAAATTGAATACATAAGAAATTTGGCCTGCTTCATAAGGAAACCATCTTCCCTCAGTCTGACAAGAGCTAGATTAGTGAAAAGTTTTATTAGCTACTGGTATCCTACCAACATTGGTATCAGTCAGTAATTCACTGCTGTTCCAAGCATCATCTTACAATGTGCATGGTCAAATTTAGAGCTAAAAAAAATGTTACCTGGGTAACCATTTCCATCAACATCAATGCGTCCAGATACAGACTGGCCAAACATCTTAAAGGCATTACCGATTATACTTCCTGTTATTTTCTAAAAAACAAAAAGGGTACAACAGGGAAAACGATAAATAATATTGTAAAGAAATGCAAGAAGTTGGGTGATCTGTATCACAATACAAGTTTTAAATGTGTAGCATTGTTTACATCACTAAGCTAAAGATTTCAAAAGTCAGATTTTACTCCTTCCCTCCCAAGAATTGCTTAAAACCATAAAAGATGCTTCTAATCACTGTAAAGAATGCTTCTGAACTGCTTTAGGAAATTACACCAATTCAGACATTCTCTCCTCAAGTCTGTTTTTCCTCTGTTGTCCAGAATCACCAATGTGTGAGAACAATGAACTCATTGTCACAGGATGGAGGAGACCATTTGACAGGAGGAGGAAATGCTGACCTCACAATCTGATGCTCAGAAACTATAGGATCCTGTCAGTGTCAAGGCCTCCTCTGCTCAGCACAAAATCCAGCTGTAAACCTACTTGAGAGAAGGTCTGTGATATCCCTCTCTTCCTTCCATTGTAGATATAAATAGCTCCCTGAAGATCTTCTTCCTGCGGAGCTCCAATCGCCACATCTGCAAAAGGATTTTTTTTTATATTTTAAAAAAAGAAAAAATTAGCTATGGTCTCCATACACCCAACCCTTTCAGTTATATATCTGGAATGCTTGTGATTTTAAAAAGGCAAAGGAGCTTTCACATTAAGCATGTAGACATTCAATAAAATACTGTTTATATTATTGAATAATTAGCTTTCCTCATTGTGCTACCGTTGTTGTTGCTTTGGCTCCCAAGTTTTCTATCAAAAATATAAATTAATCTGTACTTAAGGCATTATTAGGATATATTCTGTCTAATCTGAACAGCAACATTAAAAATTTAAACAGAGCAGTCACTACTTTCCGAATGGATCCAGTACGATAGTAAGCATCTACTATTAACATCCTTGTCATCCTGTCAAGAAATACTGTCAAGTTTTACTTTTTATTCTAAGTAATAGAACAGTATATCACACATTTATCTACAAGACTTGCTTCAAAGGACAGTTACACATACATAGAAATAACTACCACTATTTATTTATAAAACCTTAGTTAAAACTAAATAGTTAACAGTTTTAATTACTCAGATTATCATGTAATTTTGGTAACACAAACTTGCCTCTGTTGTAATTTAATGATGTCTATTGCATTATAAAAATTGCTGCAATATGCTTAATGGTTTAAGACTATTATGAATTGTGTTAAAAATAATAAAAGAATTCAAATAGAAATCAAATTAATGGTAAAACTAATACAGAACTAGTGTCAGAAATTATCTCTGTACATAACTTTTGAAAATGTTTTACTCTTCAAATCACATCAACAAATAATCTCAGTTCCAATACCACATTTTCTTAATAGACCAGTGTTTATAGATTGCATTATTGCTCAGGAATGTTTCATTCAACAAATACAGCACATAGCAATCAGAGAAATTCAAAAATGAGAAGTGAATAAGGCAAAATATTTCATTAGTTTACCTGGAAATCCATCATCATCAATATCTCCAAGATTGGTTATGGTTTCGCCAAACCTCGCAGAATACATATCACTTCCTACTAATTCAAATTCCAATTCTTGCAGTTTAGCCTAGACACAGAGAAACATGGAAAAATGTCTTAGATGTTCTGTGACAGAAAAGTCAGCATAACTCAGTGTCCCTTAAATCTACACTTTACACGAGTTTCTTCTCAGCACAACAATGGTACACTAGCATTCTTGCTTTGCCATTCCTTTCCAGCTTTCATCTGAGTACTCAGTATCTCAGTATATTACATTTCAGTATATTACATCCTATGAATGCAAGTCACGCGTCAAAAAAACACACTGAATTGTCCAGTATTCACTGTACTGAAACATATTTTTCCAACTGTAAGAAGCGCTTCGAACTGAACAATAATATTTAAAGGATGATACACAAATTTTAATTGGGCCCATATGCTGAAATGTAATGGCATTCGTGGGTGAGATCTTTATTGCAGAGAAAATATATACTTCTTGTTTAATAATCATGCACTATTGTTAAGTGAAAACCTTTTGCCAGAAGTAAGGATATATTTTGCAACTGCTGGATTTTCAAAAATACCCAATAATCATTTCAAAGTATTTTAAAGGAGCTTATTTTTGCAATTTATGTTTTAGGCTGTTGTGTATGTCTGTTAGTGTTTTGAATTTGTATACTGTACAAACATGGAATATTTAAAAACAAATTACAGTACAGAAACATGCTTAAAGTACTGCATTGCAGAAACTGTGTAGTTGATCATGTGAATCATTATTTCAGATTGTTGGAAGCCTGATTATCAGTTGCCAAATAAATCGATGACATACTATAAAGGGCATATTTGTGCAGTTATGTGTAATGAAGTATTTGGTATAAAAAGGCGGCTATGGGGACAATTTATTTGACTGTCTTAAAAAAAAAACTTACTTTGCCCAAATTCATATACACGTAAACACGCCCTTCCTCTCGAACAGTACTGTGCATTGGTGCACCAACAAGCAAGTCTGAGAGTCCATCTGAATTGAGGTCAACAGCACAGACGGAAGCTCCAAAATAAGATCCAAGCTGCAAAACAGGAAAATGCATTCACTCCCATCAAATGTTATTTGAATGAAATCATTAGCTTAACAAGGAAATGGTTATGTACAGTAATAGTCTCTTACCATCTTGCCGCTTAATTCAAAGATAATTTCCAAAGTACTTGTCGATCCAAAACTTAATATGTATGCCTGGAACAGAACAAATGACAAAGTCTGTAGTTCCGATTCACATCACGCTTTCCAGAACATGTTAATAGGTTGGAGAAATGCAAACCAAATATCACTAATTCATCAGTATTTGTGCAAACCAAGATCATGCTTCATGATTCACAGATTCACTTTCATTCATAGAAAGTGCTTTTTTTCCCAAAGCACATCAAAATCAGAAGTATTCTGCCTTTGCAGTAGAAAAAGCAAGAAGGCTACTGTAGATCAGATTGGAAAGCTATGTAGTGTTCATCACTTCAAAGAAATGCACCTCCTGCCAACTGTCATAAATACTTTTCAAAAGAGAAAATGAGAAAATTGTGGTTAGGGTGGAATATTCAGTTAATTAGAAAGTTAAGATTACTTTCCTCTTATGTGGTATTTCAAAATCCAGTCCTTGAGACTCATAATATGAGTGGCTTTTTCTTCTCCTTTGGCATCTTAATTATACGTTTTAACTAATTATATACTTAATTGGTAAGCATTGCTATTAATGATCAGTTTGCTATAAGTGATCATTTAAAGTATGCACATACAGTACATAGAGATCTGCCGAATCTCGTCATCTGAAATTAAGCCTTAGTCAATCTGCATTGACCTTTTGAAAGGTATCAGTGCTTCCAGAATGGCAAACTCCGTCTTTGTGTGACAAAGTGTTTTCTAGCATGAGTGCTCGTAGCACAGTAGTGCTTACATGCTTTTGAGTTCTGGGTTTAATTCTAGACTGGGGTGCTGTCTAGTGGAGTCTGCAGGTTACTGTGTGTTTTCTCCAGGTACTCTTGTTCCATTTCATCAAAGACATCTCTTATAGACATGTTTGCTAAGTTAACTGGCAAACCAATTGGTGTCTGTGTAAACTGCTAAGCTGTCCTGGTTGTAGTACTACTTTTCACCCAATACTTTCAAACTAGGTTCCAGGTTGACATGAATGTCAACAGGAATAGGACACTTTCTGAAGGACAGTATACTGTAAATGCAGAATTTGCTTTTAGAAGATTTCCATTGATGTTCATGCATTCTGCTATAATTAGCTCCACCCCATAGTCAACATTTAATGAAACTTGTTGTTCATGCTGTGCTTATGTTCTACAATTCATGAGTGACTATGGTGGTTCTCTTGACTTTTAATAATAAAAATACTATGACTGTGTTCTGTCTCTCAGATGCAATCTAAAAAAACATCTCCACAGTTTTAACATTACTACTCTCATAAAACTTTGTCTTGTATCATTTTATTTGCCTATTTAGCACATGTCCTGAATGCTGAATAAATGTAACAATTGTTTTATGGAATTCAGTTATTTATTTCCAATATGACTTTCCTATGTGCAAGTGCTGTCATCATTACAGTGTAATATTACGAGATTATTTTAATTGAGACACAATCCAACATGTAATTATGATGTTTTTTCTCCAGTTCCATTGTGGGTAAGAATAAATCTGTCAGACACTGCATCTCACTTAACATTTACTGTATCTGCCTGTTTCAGCATCATACTGTGAGCATCTCTTATTGCCTTTCTTGAATATCAGGACCAGGCTTATTATATTCATATTCATATTATGAGAAAGTTTATCTACTTTCCATTTAGATTGTATACTAGAAATAGCAACAATCCCTCTCAGCAAAACTCTTACTCTCTCCATAATATTAGTGCAATAAAGACAGCATTCCAGTTTGTGTCTACTGATGGTTGTTAGATTTAAGACTAGTAGATAATTCTAAAATTTTCAGTTCCTTTCAATACAAGTCATGTTTTAATAGTAGCTTAAGCAAAAGGCTAAACTGTAGCATGTTCTCCCCTACTGTACAGTACATCTAACCAAAATGAAGAATGAAAATAATTCAGTGTGGTAAATACTATTGAAGTTCTGTATTTTATTACTTTTTTCTAGGTCTCATAAATGAAGATAACTGTCCAATCTGTCAATGTTCTTATCTTTGTATGTTCAGTAAGTCTATGTTAAGATTTTGGAAAAGATCCAGCAAAACTAGAAAGGACAGATTGCTTTGATTGTTTGCAACTAATCTTTCAATTAAGATTTTTAATAAGGTGGGATTGAGTGGTGGAAAGGTTTCTCCCAAGAAACTTCAGATGTGGCATTAAGGAGGCATGTATAGAGTCTGATACAACAAATATAAGCACCGTGAGGATCAAATTCAGCTAAATTTGTAGATTTAACAATGGCATCATGACACTTCATCTGTGTTTGTGATAATCCTTCTAAAATGACTTACAGTATACTCATTAATTAAACTTTGCTGTTTGAAAGATCACTACACTAGAAGAATCACCGACAAAAAAAGTCAGTTAATTCGCTAAATTAAATCCAGACACACCCAAGACTATACTACATAAATAAAGCTCTACCAAAAAAGCTTTTGAACAAACTAAATAGAAGTGATATCCATCTTATTTACCCATTTCTAAAATTTGGTACTGTTATAGTCAGCATTGGCATTGCACCAGTTATATTAAATGTATATAGTACCTTCTCCCCTAGCCAGCAGCCATATCACCCTGCAACTCACAACTGGCAACCCACTGAAGCTAAGCAGGTGTGAGCCTGGTCAGTACCTGGATGGGAGACCTCCTGGGAAAAACTAAGGTTGCTGCTAGAAGAGGTGTTAGTGGGGCCAGCAGGGGATGCTCACCCTGTAGTCCAGGTGGGTCCTAATGCCCCAGGACACTATACTGTAAATAAGTGCCGTCCTTCAGATGAGATGTAAAACTGAGGTCCTGACTCTCTGTGGTCATTAAAAATCCCAGGGTGTTTCTCGAAAAGATTAGAGGTGTAACCCTGGTGTCCTGGCCAAAATTTCCCATGCCTCCTAATAATCCCTCTCTATGAATTAGCTACATTACTTTGTTCCCCCCCACTCCGACAGCAGGCAGAATGACGCGCCGGTTGGAGTATTTCTCGGTCACAGTTAAAGGCAACGTCAGCTCAAAGATTTGGTTCAAACCACCAAATGGAGACTGGTGTACCGACAAGCAGACCCTGTTGATGCAGGATTAACGCTAGGAAAGAGAGAGAGTACCTTTTCCCTTAATTTGAACTAAGGATATCCACCTTTCCTATGTTATCTAGATCACTATTACTGCTTGATGAAATCTTCTCTGGTTGTATACAGAAATAAATAAATATTCATTATATGCAACTGTATACTTTATTTCGATCATGCAATGTGAATGTAAAAAAAATACATTGCAATGACAGAAAACATCCTCCATTGACTAAACCACCATTGACTAAAGAACTGTATGTACTGTATCAGCTGTTTTGATATTAGAATTCACAAATTCTTTTGTCATGCATCAGCAGTACAATGGTGATGAAACTGAATAAACTTTATTTCCACTAAGGCCTTGGAATTTCTATAACAAACCAAAGAGTTAGACTGAATGTTTGAAAACAGCCTCTAACTCAATGCCAACGCAAGTACTCTATTCCCTCTGTTGGCACCATTAGTTATGTTAAAATGTTTATGTACTATAAAAGTTTTGGTTATACTTTTCCAAACTACAGCATACAGCAGATTTGTTATTAAGGAAGCTTGGTCTGTCTGATAGGATATTGCAGGGAATACTAAATACTAAAAATAATCTATATGAGTATGGCATTGGAGGAATATCACCAAAGAGTAGACAACAATGTTTAGTAGCATGGTGGTTCATAGCGGCACTGGGGTGTTACAGAATCCTTTAAGAGAGAAGAATGGTTTCACATCCTATATTTATTCATATTTCTCCTAATTCATAATTTCCTGTTTTTCTGCTGTTGGTAAAACCTTAATCTACAATAAAGGAAATATGGATAAGAATTAATTCTTACTTTACCAGTCTGCCCATGCTGGGGAGCCCCTCCCACAAATTCAGTGGAATCTGGATGGCTAAAATGGCCAGCACCTACTGAATAGCCTTTCAGAGAGGAAATGAAGAAAACAGAGATGTGAAAACCTGTTTCTTAATTTAGACTGTCACACATATTCCAGCCTTAGTTAACTGATGTCATTTTTTCATCAGCATAACAGCTACACTATATATTGTATTTGGTGTGAAAATGTTAACAGGCACCATATTTAACAGTTTCCTTATAAATTAGATACGACACAGTGGTAGATTGAGTATTTGTATTCAAAGACCAAGAAAAGGTTCACCTATTTCTGTTGTCCAATAATTCTAATTTACTGTTCCTTTGCAAATAAGAAATATCTAGCCAGATTCAGATATTAGTACCCATTTATGAAAAACCCATAACCAGAAGATTGCCAATTTAGTCCCATTATTGCTGACCTTAAAAGAAGAACAAATAGGGTTTTTGTGTATGCACTTCAGTCAGTATTATCAAAACAATATAATCATGCTGTATTTTCACAAATCACAAAAACAAAACATGCACCTGCATAACTTCCTGTTATTAACGTATGTGCAGATAGAAGGACTCAAGCACAGCTTTTACATTTCCTTTACAGACTTTATAATAACTACACAAAACTTTACATTCTGCTGTTTCCATAATAAAGGACTCTTGGCACATTTAGATTTAGGATAAAAGCTATTTTAAAACAGCAGAACTGGCTTAATGTATGTAAGCAAAACAACTTGGACTTCCAGCTAATATAAAAAAGGCTTTATCCTTCCTATTCTCTCAAACTTGTTTTAAATAAAAGGCACAGTCCAAAAGAAATTGATTAATGACATGGATAAAGCAGAAAATTACTTTAAGTGTGGCATTTAAAAAAATGTAGAAAGATAAAAAGTATATACAAATAATAGACTTTTATTGTATTAGTATGTTAAAATATTGTCAGATAGAGTTTGGCAAAGCCAATTTTAAATCTTTACATAATTCTACTGATACATTTTAATGTACTGATTTTAACAATTGAATCCTTGGATAGAAAAGATGGCTTTTCCACCATCTTAAAAGTTAGTACAACAAACTACAGCAGACTAGCATTCTTCTGTCTCATCACTCAGCACTCTTGCTATTTTTAGAGTGAAACTTCACCCACAAAACTACAATGTACTGTACATTTAAATTAAAAATTAAAGAACAGAAAAGACATATTACAAAACTATTTGTAACTTTTAAAATGTGTAATCTACCAGACAATATAATAACATGCTACTAAATGTGCTGTAGGATGGCATTTATTTAAATGAGTTTACTATAAATCATAAGAACGGCAAATAACACTAAAACATGGGCACTGCAATTTATAATCTCTGAAAATGTAAAATGCTATTTAATTAAAACTGAGGTCAGAAATGATCCCAGTTTACTTTTTCAAGAGAAACTACAACCTTTTAACATACTGATTAAGCCATCATTCAGCATGAAGTGTCAATAATTAATCTAAAACTGTGCTTTGGAAACCAAACATTAATAAATGTAAATCAGCTGACATTCTGTTCTGAAAAGTAAGCCTTATTCCTCACAAGACCTAAAATCTTCACTTTCCTCTGGCATGATGTTAAAATTTAGGAAATGAAAAAGCCAAAGGTGATACATTTGTTTTCTGTATTTCCATGGTACAGAATGGTATAAATGGTACAAATAATTCTAGTTTAAAAAAAGAAAAGAAAATGTCCTAGATACTTTTTTAAGAGATGATGCATATGTAAAGATGTTTCACTTATTATGCAGGTTTCAAAGTATCTTACCTAAATAGCTTCCAAAAAGGACATGGTTTTCATTATCAACATATGCCCATAAAGAACGGCTTGACATATTATAAACTAAAACAGATCCAGTCCAGTAAAACGTTCCAGGAGCTCCCATTATAATCAAATCCTGCAATACAAACACTGGTGTTAAAATACCATAAAGCAGCATGTGTATATTCACTTATAGCGGTTTTATTCCATGTTCCCTTAATAAAGAACCAAGCAGAGAAAAAAAAAAACTGGGCACCTTTGTCAGATAATTAGATATTCCAGCTTGACAGGAACCATAGCTTTCACCAAATTTCCGCTGATGATCTAAAAAAATAAATATAAAATATTCTGCATTTTCTTTCAATAGTTTCAGTAAAGATATTGAGCAAATAGCAAACACAACCCATTTAAAACACTATGTATGATGTAACACATCTGTTTCAAAATCTATGAATTAAAAGATAGAAGCACAGACTCTTCATTTCAGCAATTATTACCCATTTAAGATGCATTCTGCTCCCTTCCCAGCATTCTAAGGCCTTCTAAAACCATATTAATTTATATGCTTGAGTTGTGTCACATCTTGTTTCAACTGCCCATGAGGTATTGAATAATATAATAAGGTATTGTGTATTTTAGACAAAAGGCATTTTACCACTTCGCAACTAAATTTATAACCCTGAGCTGCAGAAAAGTAAAGCAAAACTTAAAAGAAAAATTGCTTGTAGCTAAGAACCTTCATCATGAACAGCTCTCAGGTTTTTCCTTTTTTCACTTGTAAAAAAAAAAACTGTTTCCTCTGTTACATTGTTGTAACTTAATGCAAAAAAAAAACATTACCACTCAGTTAACTAAAGGTGTTGGGCTTATCCAGACTGGATTTGATTATACTTTACATGAAAAGATCAATGGTATTACCTGTCTGTCGGACAAGAAAAATCTGACTACATGTGGTCATATGTGGTCCGCCAAAATTCTTAGTAATGTGTGCTCTTGAAACTCTTTAACGCACCCACACCACCATAAACCATCCTTTCTCTCAGTCCTTTTTACAGTTACCATGAAAATTTCAGTGAAGATGCAATTGCCTTTTGTGACCGTTTTCATATTTTTATTACAGTTAATCCCTTTAAAAGCAATACAATTTGCAAGAGATTAAAACTCGTATAAAGTCCCTTTCACATACTTCTCCTGTATTTATTACATAAGATATCTTAACATGTTTCCAATGCCTATTTTCCTAAGTTTTCTTAGTACTGTAGGATCATAACCACTGCATTGGCCAAAAGTCTACTGCACTATAACAGACATTCTCTAAGTGTATTCATTTCATAAGCCCTCCGAAAGTATTGTGACAGCTAAGTCAAAACTTAAATTTTTGCTTTGAAGTCAAGAAGTATACTGTATATTTGTTAGATTAATATGAATGAAAAGTACAATTTTTGAGGGAATATTTCCATGCATACATTTGATCATATCAGAACATGTTAAACCAGTGATTTCCAGAGACCATCCATACTGTCACATTTTCTTTTTCAGAGTTTAGAGGTCCGGATTTGGTTGTGTATCACTTTGACACAATCACTGCATACGGTCTGTGACCCACTGAGCTAACCAAACTCTTTTTAGAATCATTTGATGTGAGATGCTTTCACAAGCCTTTGCTATAGCCACTTCAAGATATTGTCTATTCTTGGGTTTTCTGACTTCACTTTTTTCTTCAACATATAAAATGCATCTACAATTGAATTTAAATCTGGAAATTGACCTAGCCAGTCAAAGATTTTCCATGTTTTTTTTCTTATGATGAACTCTTTGGTAGCATTGCCTGGTTTTTAGTCATTGTCTTGCTCCATGATGATGCAATGACCAACACGGAAGCATTTTCTTTGACATAAGCAGACAAAATGTATCTGAAATCAGAAATGTACATTCTACTGCCAACAATCATCACATCATCAATAAAGACAAGTGAGTCTATTGTAGAGGCAGCCAGAAATGCCCAGTTTGCACACATGTGAGACCATGCATACTCATTAGGCTGTTTTACTGTGACACTCTTTGGAAGTGCAAGACATGTTCAGATTGCTTATTAGACAACAATAAGCAATGTATCTGTTTGACCCTAATAATATGTAAGGTTGTGATATACCAGTAGAACAATATAAAGCCTATATCACAATTTTGTGCACCAGGTTACCTCCAGGGTTTGAAATAGCAAACGTATTGACAACACAAGGGAGACATTAAAATGTTCACATGCCTGAGAATCTGCATGTTCAAAGGTAATGTGCAGACAAGTTTGTTGATTCATTATTCATTACTCTCAGTGAAACAGAAAAAGAATACCTCAACTGAATATTAATTGTGGGGATGTTGTAATCTAAAGTTGCCAAAGCAAAAAAAGTGTCCATTTAACCACCTGACTTCAGCAGAGATACAGAAAGACAGGAAATGTCAGGCAAAGCACACAGAGGAAAAAAGGAACTTTTGGTAGTGGTAAGGTAGTTGTTTAAAAGGTCAGTAATGTCAGCTTTAGGAGTTGACGATGGAGATCTTAATGTACAGTGGTAGTTTCACCATAATTTGAGATCTATGCTCCACCCATTGTTACACCAATTCTGTAATTTTAATTTCAATATGATAAGTGTCCCCTCAATGCAAGTATCACCAAAGAGTTTCTATACAGTATCCATCTGGGATTAATAATGTCATGCATTACCCCGTTGTACTGCATATCTACAGTATAACAACACAATGGAGAAATGCGAGTGGTACAGTATATGACTTCAATGTGTCATGTGATCTACAATATACAGTACTACGGTACATGTAACAAACTTTCTTGTGAGAAGCATGTTTACAAATGATGAAATGATGCCATGACCAAAATCCCTAGAATACTCCTTTAATTTTTATAGCTTTATATTGTCTAAAGTTTACTTTTCATCTTGGACAGCTTTTCTGAACTGAAAAACTGAGTTTAAGGCTGTAAAAAAGACTTTTCTGTTTATGTCTCATTTAAAAGCTTTACCTCAAGTTTAAATCCTGCTCCACTGCATTTTTCATACTGTTTAACAAGAGTTTTTACTGTATATGTATACAAAGACAAAGAATTATATCTGACCTTTGTAGCAGGGAGTCAATGTCTGTTGGAAAGTTAAATCAGGGCTTATTTTGTAGCAAATACCATGAGGCAACTTATGCTGATTTTCTTTATGCATATAAAATACATTTTTCCACCTATGTCCACAAGCCTGCAGAGAAAACAGACAGATTCAATTATTTTTAATAAAGAACACATCATATATACAATATATAGTATAGCAAACATTTAAGATATCCGTTTATTATAAAATTTCATTTTTTCCATTCTAAAGCATTAATGTAATGGTTCCTCACTATATGTTTTTGAATGGTTGATCATTGCAAAAGAATAAAAAGCTAAATTACCACCTAGAGTAATAGACTTTAACTCACTAATAATGCTATAGATTAAAGACATTTATTTTCAAACTTCTTTTTAAGAACAAAATTCTTAAACAGAGATTAAGGATGAAAACAAAGAAAGATAACACAGGTGTGGAAAGATAGCCTTTTTTGGTATTTGAGTTAAAATTTAAAGCCTTCATATAAATCATCCATTAATTTTCTAACCACTTTATCCAATTCAGGTTAGAGGGGAAAACAGAGCCAATCCTGGCAAGTAATAACTACATGGATACACTGTGTCATTAGTGGACATAGTGGATAGGATACCAGTCCATTGCAGGGCACACACAGATACAAATATAAATATGCATACACTCACACTAGGGCCAGTTTTTCCATAGGCCAATTAATCAACCAATGTACTGTGAGAGGACACTAAAGCATCCAGAAGAAACTCACATGAGCATGGGTGAACATACAACCTCAACAGATAGCCAAGTCAGGAATTGAACCCAGGGTCTCAGCTATGTGAAGGAGCAATGCTATAACCCCTGTGTCATTGTATTGCCCCATATAACTCATACTCCATTATTCTAAAGAGTGGATGAAGCTTCCCCCAATGAAATATCATGGTGTTTTACATACCACAATATATCCCTCTTCAGATTGTCTGGATAAGCTAACACCAAGCCATTGATTATCTTTTTCAGCTAGGCAATGCCTTCCACAAGAATTGTCTTCTTCAATACCTGAAACACAAGTTAAACATGTCATTTCATTTGCCAAACCGCTTTATACCATACGGTGTCACAGGAAGCCAGAGCCTACCCAGCAAGCAACGAGCACAATGGAAGGGTACACCCTGGACAGGGCGCCAGTCCATCACAGGGCAAGTGCAAGCCAATCATACATGGGGACAATTTGGAGGCCATGGTAAAGGCCGAGGGGAGAATTTTGCCTGGACACTGGGATAACTCCCTACTCTTATCGAGAAATGCCCAGGGATCTTAATGACCACTGAGTCAGGACCTCAGTTTAACGTCTCATCCAAAAGACGGCACCCAATACAGTAGTGTGGGGCACTATACTGGGGCATTAGGACCACACTTGACTGCAGGGTAGGCGCCCCCCCCCACTGGTCCCACTAACACCACTTCCAGTAGCAACCATAGCTTCCCAGGAGGTCTCCCATCCAGGTACTGACCAGGCTCAATCCTGCTTAACTTCAGTAGGTAGCCAGGTTGAGAGCTCCAGGGTGATATACCTGCTAGCCAAGATAAACATACTGTATGTACACTAGATTCAGAGTTATGTGTCCAATAACATATTTTATCAATTAAGCAGAACTGTGCGGTGCTAAAAAACCTCATTAAACCCTTCTGAAATCTGAAATGCAGACTTAAAATATTTAGCACTTAAAAGAGACTTGCATTGCTAATTTCACTTTTACTTGTTATTTATGGCTCAGGGGCAACTAAAGGTCTCAAGGCTGAAACATATTGGCAGGGGTCACAGAGAATTTCCTGTAAAAAAGGGGAAGTTAATTCTCTGGGTGTATTTCAGTCAAGAAAAACACCTTGTAAGTGCAATGCATTCAATTCCTTTTCTTTTGGCCTAACCATGTGTTATCTCAGAACATCCAACACAGTCACCCTACAATCTACTGAAGAGGCAGAGGGAGATGATAGGTGGCTCACCAAATGAGCACTGAAATGCTGAGTCATTGTGAGATGCTGGGTTTTCCCTGCAAAAAAAGTCCTGCCGTGATCTACAGGATCATCCTACTATACATCTGAGAAAAACGGTTATTCCATCTTTTATGTGAGAGATAAGAAGTACCAGTTATCTATGACACACTAAAACTGCTTGAAGAAAATAGATCTACAGTGTTTGCGTATTTGAAAGACATCTTTCAGCATGTGTCTCAATATGTACAGTAAATAAGTAATTTATTAAGTAAATCTGTAATTGAATTAAGTGGATCCTGTGCCAGGGTAACGGAAGCTAACACATTAGACCCTATGGAGTTTCAGTGGATTTGATTATGTACAATCATAGATCAAGAATAAGCACTTTTAAAATTTGAAATCACATCTCTGTTATATTCAAAAGCTATTCTCCATGAAATGGAACAACTCTAAGCATCTATAGGTACACTGAACTTTTCCAGATGTTTTTGTAGAAACACAGTACACAGCACATAAAGACATAAATATAATAAATACAATGGTATACCTTATTTAGCTGATTTTTCAGTTTCTCCTTTTATACACAGTGTATGTCGTTGGCTGACATCCCAAAGTGCTTAAGTGAACGTTGTAGGTTCACACCGCGCGAATCAAAGCCTTATATCTCCCCGTAAACTTCGCACACATTTCAATGTAATAATGGGAACTGATAATATAACTATATTATTACTAAAATACAACTATGAAAAGTTCATATGTCAAGCTATTCGTTTGCAAACTCATACGTTATGCATGGCCGTGTCATATCCCAACAGCTGATTCATTAAATTCTTACCACGTGCTGGAACAGCTTAGAATTTAAAAACGCCCCAGCTATGAAACACTGCTGAAAATCCTAACATAGACTATACAATATAAAGGCACATATGATATTATGTTAATGGTAATCGAAGATTTCAACTTCAGAAACAAGATTCAACAGTTCCAATCTACTTGGCTGATAAACGCAACCTCTCTTTGTCAGGACGTTAGGACTAAACTGAACAAGAAAAACGTTTTTAACACCTCAGAAAAGCCTGTCTAGTATTACTATACAGTATGTTCAGTAATTACTTTCAACCAGTTTAAAAAAAATACTTTGCCATTTGTAAATTCATTATTTTTACTGAAATAACAGATTTGAACGCAACAAGAGATTCAATTACATAAGTCATTAACTGAAAACATTTTGTAATAATCAATACTAACCGACAGGTAGCTGCTCACAGTGATTGATGTCATTGATGTTGCACTTAAAAATTGCACCAGGGTTGACGATGGCTTGGTTACTACTTGAATTAGCAATTGGAGCTCCCACTAACAACCTAGAACACACAAAAATGATGTTTTACACTAACAAGATTGGCGATTAATTTAAAATTAGCATACCGCTTGTTAAAAACGTGCAGTTATCTACAGATATAAAAGTAGTAGGAACAAAATCGCCTCTTACAGAATTAAACAGCGCTTTGTACTTCCATAGAAGGCTAATTTGTATGCTCTGCATTTTACTGCATTCTGGAAATGACTTAATGACAGCTTTGTTCGTTAACCCACGGATGAAACAGAAACCATCAAACGAATATCCTAATTTCTCTGAAAAACAACGTTCATTTAAAAGTCAAGTATTAAAATAAAATTATTGTCAGAAAATAAATTTATTTTACACTTACCAATTCTGATTTTCATGACTGTGTAGCAAAACTGAATATCCAAACAGAGATCCCTTTGGTCCATTGAAAATTACATGATTCTCTATATCCAGATTGTAGCATTCGGCTTTGCTGACTAGATAAAAAAAGCACGCCACTTTCAATACGATAAACCAGCTATGAACTTCTTCTAACTTTTTTTGATCCATACTTATAAGAAAATATCTATTTAAGAGGCACATGCACTTAAAAAACTCGCTTTGCATAAATTATGAGACAAATGAAAAGAAAAAAAAGAAAAATGTTAATTAGAATCTGAAAGAGTTAAACTTGCTTTTAAAAGTTACGGTACTACTCTACTGTTGATCTTTACTGTTGTCTTTCCAACAGCACTCTGGTCAAATCATGTCACGTGAAAACGAAGCTTTAATTTCTATAAAACAATCCGTTAGGGGGAGCTTTGAACCTTACCCAGACATGTTGCAGCTGTGGCGTCCAGATGCACGGATTAAAAAGAACTGCGATATTTCAGACGGTCTAGGTAAATAAAAATAGGGTAAAATTATATTTTGAATTTCCATTTCATTGTCTCAATTCTATACATTGTGGCAAACCAATCCAAATTACTTCAATCCTCAAAACCTCAATAATAATATAAGAACAATACATACCCTGTACAGTATGTCACCTATAAAGTAGCACAGTGTACAAATAGATTAAAATGATGACATCTGTGAGTATTACACTTTAGTTATTAAATAATTGTCTGTAATAAAATTGCTTATATTTTACATTGTTCTTTTATCAAATATTTCAGTTGAAAAATAATTATTCAGTTGGAACACACACCTTGATTGATTTAAGCGTTAACAACAAGCACAGATTTAAGGGTTAAAAACAATTAGACCTTCCTGGAGACAATTCACATTTTGATTTCCAATCATGCATTTTACATTCAGAAATGACCTAGTTCGTGATTTGGTAATATTTTACTATTCCACAAGGTTCCTTTTCTTTTTTTTAACAACATACTGTAACAGTAAACTGGATCATTGATCTTAAGTGGAGCTGTTGATGAAAGCTACTGTAGGTTTTTGCATTCTCCTTGAGTTTAAAGGCAAGCAGTTTAAGTAGAAAAAAAAATGGAAATCAGAAATCACAGATGATAAGATTCAAGTAAGATGTATAATCCAGACCTTTTTTTATCTTTACTGTTATTTCATGGTAATGTCTGAGAGACTTTAACAGAAATGCATTGTGATGTGTAAAGTCAGACTTTAAGGTCTTCTTATTTCTTCAACCTATGGGATGCAAAAAACAAAAATAAAAGATTGAGGTATTCAATCATTTTCAAGACTTTCAGTGACATAAGCGAATTGGAGAACTACTGTATGCATCTCTGTTCGCGTGATTATCTGAAGTGAGTATTGTTACGTAAACATTTGTGTAATATTGCTAGAGTTTTATTTCTAATTACTTTTGAGGCAAAACAAAATAATGTAAAGTACCTTGGTTGTTCTTTATTCAATTTCATTCTTTATTAATTAATGCCTTGAAAAGTGAAAATCTGCTTTGCAATTTAGACATCAATTTACTGTTATCCTGTAAACAGTAACATTTAACTGCACATTTATAACCCTTCACAACTCAGGATATTTTATTAACATTACCTAAAATGTCAATATGTTTATTTTCCTATACTCACTTTAAACTTTGGTTTCCTATCAACAATTTATTTACAAAACTTTCTTATTTATATGACTGCCCTTACAGAGATAAACTGGAGGGTGCCTTGTAAAAGCCTTGCACTAACGCATAACATTTCCTTTTTCGGTCTTTAATTTTCTCAGTGCCTGAAGAACCGTCTCCAACTGATTTTTGCCAGAGCTGAAATCCAAATTGAGCTGATATGCTGCAGTCTGCCAAAACAGCTAAAGGAAGTGTTGCTGCCATTTCTTGGAGGTGGGTGAGGGTATTTTTAGTGGATTTGTAAAGTATAATTAATGACATTATTCATGACCTGCACGAAATTGTAAGTTTCTGATCATACTTTTATTTTAAAAAGCCCAAATGACCAAACATTGTACATGAAATGTACTCTGAAAAATTAATTTAAATTAAATTAAAAATAATTACAAACTCATCAAGTGGGACATACCTGGTATTTAAATCATTATAGGCACTGGTACTGTATGATTGTGTTTTCTCTTTTTTGCAGTAGAACTTTTTGACTTCTTATTAACTTTACCATTATGGGAGTTTTAGTGTTATTCAAGCTGCTATACAGAACAGGTCTATGAAAATTAAATGTGGAACAATATAAGTTAAATACATGTATTACTGTGGGTAAAAGAAACCAGAAACCTGTTAATAGAAATACTTTTACCTTCCACTAGCCACAGATACTATTATTTTGTCAGTAAGGAAGAGGAACATACTGTAAATGCTATCGAAAGGTCAGAAAATGATAAGAGCACAGAAATATGAGAGTAGAATATTCAGCATAAATGGACATAAACCTGGCCTTATGATTAAAAAAGAACAACTACTTGTTTTATTTTTCGAAAACTGTTCTCCCTTCAGAAGGCTGGTTTTCCTTGCTGAAGCCTCCACACTTACGCCATCCTGCTCTAAAGAAGACCACACCATCCTTCTCTAAAAATAAACTGCAGTTTCCTACTTTTTCTGCTGCTTCAAGAACACCGTACTTTCTTCATCAAAGCAAACCCTTTTCACAAAAGAAGCTCTCTTTCATTATTTCTAGAAGTGATACAGGTTGTGCACAAGCATTGATTATGATATTGATTGTAGGTTTTATTTATTTTAATGGTGTTTGAGTGGTCAGGGGCTATATAAAACTGTACACATCTGAATGTGTGTATCTGTACATACTCCACCATTGAGCTCATAAAGAAATGGAATTCTAAAAACTTTTTTTCTTTTATGGACTTCAGTATTGGCTTAAGAATTTTAATGCCGTCATAAAATGTTAGCCCCTGGTACTGCGATTTTAAGGTTGGCTTCATAGAGGAAACCATAAATGAAAACCCTAAATTAAAATTACTTTAAAAGAAGAGGTAACACAGGGGCTGAAAATTCAGTACAGTTAATAATTTCCCCACAAATATGTCAAGTAAATATTTGAACCTTTTACCTCAGAGTGCCACAGGATGTGGTTTACCTATGCTAACCCTCATTGCCACCCACAGTCACAACCATTTATCTCCCTCACATTTACATAAGCTCCAGTAATTAAAAGAAATTCTTAAAAAGCCATGTTTGTGAATGTAAAAGTTACGTACAATACATACTGTAGAACACATTCATTCTGTGTTCTACTCTTTTATAGAGTATATCCGCTTTAACACTTTGTGCTACTGGACAGTGTATCATATCATCAAGATGGTCTTTAAAAAAGCAGAGGATCACAACACAGAATGAAACAAAACAGGTTCCTTTCTATCTTTAAACAGACAAAAATGCCATCTAACACTTGTGCTGAAGAAGAAAAACATTATTTTCTTCAAAATACTGTATATGCACCTAAAAATCATAATAACCAAGATTTTAGAGAAAGTTTATGCATCTTTGAAAGCTCAACAAAACCTCTAGTTGCTAAGAAAAAAGGTCAATACAGCTTGTGTGGTTCTCGTATTACACACTTTTATTTTAAAGCCCATGACATGACGTGCTTCTCCCTAAAAAAGAGACATTAAATTCTAGAACTTTGCGTAAAAGAATAATATTGAGAATGAATATTGGCTTGAGGTTTCATTCTGCCTCAAAAATTAACAAAGAGAAAGATATCAGTTATGTTAAGGATTTTCTTCTTGATATTCTCACATGCAAATGTCTTTTTCATACATAATTGCTAGATTGAGGTGACTAGTAAGGATACGTATGTTCTTGACAAATCATGAAAGCATAGAAAATTAAATAGTATAAATACTGTCAAATTGCAGAATCAATGCAGGAAATTGTAAGAACATAAGAAAGGTTACAATGAAGACTAGGCCATTTGGCCCATCTAGTCTGTTTGGGTACTGTAATGGGCAATTGATTCAAGGATCTCATCCAGTTATTTCTTAAAAGAAGTCAGAGGATCATCTTTAACATCATGACTCAACAGCTTGTTCCAAAGTCCCACAGCATATTGTGTAAAGAAGAGCCTCCTGTTCTCAATATTAAATGCACTTCCATATAGTTTGCTACCTTATTCTCTGGTTCCAGCTCCACTGTTCATAATGATTAAGTCTACTGGGTTGACTTTGTTAATGCCATTGAGGATTTCGAATACAGTACTGGAATAATGATCTTACGAAAAAGACTATGCTCCTTCAACCTGTCAGTGCAGATCATTTCCTTAAGTCTCAGAATTTGCTGTGGACTGGACTCCAGAGCAGAAATACCTTTTTTTATAACATGCTGCCAGAAATTGTGCATAGTATTCAGATAAGGTCTTACTAGTCCATCCATTTTCTTACCACTTCATCCAATTCAGGGTCACAGGAGAGCCAGAGTCTATCCTAGCAAGCAACAGGCAGAAGGCAGGATAAACTCTGGATGGGACACCAGTCACAGAAGTCTTACTAAAGCATTGTATAATTTTAACATAACCTTCCATGTTTTAACTATGTATGCTAACATTTGCTTGCCTTTTTTATTCCTTCCCCACATGGGCTAGAAGATGAAAAGCTCCTTCAGGCTCAGTGTTTCCAGTTTTGTTTTCATACCTGTCTACATTAATCATCATCTGCCAGGTGTTTGCCAAGTTGTGAATTATATCTGAATCACAATTTAATAATAAGGAATATAACATATTCATTCTCAAAAAATGATAACACAATGTAACGCATACGGCCGACAGGCACTGTGTAAGAGCCGGCTTACCAGAGCGGTGACGTCACCGCCCTTCCCTGTAATAGCAGGACCACAGCCGCTAGGCTGGGGAGAGATCTCTCTTTAGCTCACCAGGCTGGGTCCCTGTTGAGTGACATGGGAGTCCTGTGTTCGAGCCCCCGACGGTGCGGGGCCGACCTGATGCGGCAAGGGCGCCCGCCTGAACCCCGTAGCATTACAATAACATATCTACCGATAAAAAGGTATTAAGTCAATATGTAGAGAGATCACTAATAATATACTGTAGATCATTCAGATATTGTTTTTTATGCATTTTCATAAAAAGTATACTTTTTATACTGTATATGCAGAAATGAGAGATTAATGAATGAACTTTTTACAAACATGCACAAAATGATGAACTCATTATCCCTATTAAACCAATATTCTATGCTAACTACATTAATGATTTAGAAGTTTAAACTGCCATATAACCAGCTTTGTATCAACAGGAAAACAATATTTAAAAAGGCAAATGCTAATAATGCCCACAGCCACATTGCAAAATAAAGACCTACTGTCCCTCTAATAATATCTGACATGAGTTACTTAACATGGTAGAAGATTAAAATCTTTATAAAATTCCTTACAGAGGTTAAGAATTTCTGTCCTATCCAATTGGATGGATTTGTCTTCAGTGTAAGTGTTTTATCTGTTCTTAAAGGCTAAGAGAACTTTGTCTTGGCACATATTTGGCCAGCTATATGCAGTACAGTTTTGGTAAAAGCACACATGTAAAGATATACAAAGGGGTGATGAATAAACATGTGTCATGTTTAGTTGTTTCATTTTTTAAAATCATCCAAGGTATAAGTCAGGGTAATGGTTAATCATCAATGATAAATCTCCCAGATTTTGTCTACATTCTAAAACGGTGTACAGTATGATGACATGTTGGATACCTACTCCAGCAATATGCATTATAATTAAAATAACAACATTTGCATGTTGTATAAACCTAGAAGAATGTACAGTAAATGGTCCCAAAATTGTGGTAACTTATTTACAAAGGCAACTTCTAAACAATCTAGAAATGCCTTTAAATGCATTTTTAAAAATAATAAAAATGATTCTTGAATGGTACAGTAAAATTGAACATAGAATTACAATTAAAAAGTTAGGTGAGTAAATTCTGGACAATAGCATCCCATTTCAATAATTAGGAAAACTTTCACATTGGTTGTGAATTACAGTAGTGTATACCCAGCACATTGCCCAGTTTATATCTAAAATTCTGTGTATAAGGTAATCAGGTTCTAGTCATAGAAAAAATGAATGAATCATGAATCATATTTCAGAATGTAAGATTTTTGATTATGTTTTCTTTATACGAAAATGGAACAATTATTGCAACAATAATGTGTTGAATAAGAAATTAGTCTGTGTTTTATTCTTCCATTATGTTCCTATTCCCAGAATGTAACTGTTATAAAAAAGACAAATTGTACAGTACATTAATGCACCTTAAAGAACAAAGGAGAAAACAATAAAGAAAGGAAAAGTATGAATAACGTCCAAATGATCGATGGATGAGCCTGATTCAGCCCTCTTTACAGATATGCAACTGCCAGAAAAGCTTAACAATGGCAGAATGGGAATGATTGGGAGTCATGTTGTTTCTCTCTCTTTTTTTCCCCCTTGAAGGATGGCAGGTCTGGCTCAGCTGTGGCCCTCAGCAGTCAGCAGCATCAGCAGTCAGTAGCGGCACAGAATCCAGCTGAAACTGCACCACAGCCTGTTTCAGCATTCTGATGAAATTACACTGATTTAATTTCCACGCTGTGAAGACATTTGGCACAACTTGGACCCCATCCCTGACATCTTCATTGGAGGCCAAATTGAATGAAGAAGAAATGCACCAATATTTCAGCGTGGATGCTTCCAATCTCTGTTTCATTTTTTTTTCACAGAGACATTATTTTCTATAAGCAGCCCCTTGCATAAGGTGAGCAGAAAGGTCCATGTCTCAATTGTTTTAAACACATGTACAAAAATGCTTTGAGCCAGGGAAGCTCAGCTGTAGCAAAGTTTGGCACCAACAACTCACCATATACCTGCACCATCCTGTGCAATTTAATTGGCATTCAGTGGGTTGATAAATGGATTGGCTTAATGGGACAATATACTTGACATATGCAGGGCTCTCCTGAGGAATAGGATTCATTTTTGTACTTCACACATCAACATGCAGCAGATACCAACACTGTCTCCTCCAACAGCTGTGCTATAGCCAATGACATCCAATCAGTTTCAACAGCCAATGATATTCCTGCCAGCCTCACAGCCCACTGACTCTCTCCATGGGGTTAGAGCTCAATCAAGATAAGAAAAAAATACTGCATAGATTTTTGTCTCGTGGCAGGATATATTAGCTTGGCTAGAATACTAAAAAAGCTTGCATAATCTACTACAAAATTTGAATGACAAAAATATGAATGAATGTCCCAGGAATGAAGCCTTACCAAACTTGTAACAGAGCAAGAATGTGAACAACAATATGAAGACATTTATATACTGTATGTATTTAATTCATATCAGTAGCATCTGTGATGAGTGAGAGACATCCTCACTCTTTAGAGTCAGATCTCAAAGGTCGCTATGGTGCAGACCAACAAACTTAATCAACAAACAAAAGACAGTGTCAACAAACAAGGGAGTGGCATTTTTTTCTCAGCCTACGTAATAAAAAATGAATTATTGTAAGGTTGAGATAAGCGTGACACCCAAAGGAGAGTGCAGCTTAGTGTCTTGAAACATCGTATATTTCTGAGGTTAAGTACAGCCAGGAATAGAGGATTGTTAATCGTATGATTTCTAGTACCATTGTATCTTCGTAATGCAAAAGAAATACTTAAGTAGTGTGAATGTGTGGCATTAGAATTCTTTCCTGGTCTGGTTAAAGGTCATTAAAGGTATTTTAAACATAAACATTCACAGTAACTTCGAGGGAAGATGAGGACATGGGTAATTTAATGTAAATCTTAAGAGCTGACCTGGACAGAGTCCACATATAGTACTTTCTTTCAAAATGTTACTAAATAAATTCTGCAGGTCATCATGAGGTCAAGTAAAACAAGTAAGAAGTAGAGTTAATACAGCCCCATGTCCTTCCTTCGGATTCTGAATGGGTGCCTATCTGAAGCTTATAATTGTGCTCATTGAATAGCTCATACGCAAATAAGGCCCAAGGAAAAAAGAGAAAGAGAAAGAAATAGTGTGTGACAGATTCTAATTACTGCATAACAACAACATATGGAAACTTCATTGTCCATTTCATCCCTCAACATGTACTATCAAGTCACATTTCTTTTGCTCAATCATTCTCTCTGGAGCATTTGGAGCTGTTTCATTTATGTGTGATGAGCAAAAACAACACTTGATGGGGTCGCATGATAATTTTATTTACTGGATCTGCCTTCAGAGCTCATTAATTCCTGTGGCTTTTTGTTTTTCTCATTTTCGCTTAAACTGTAGTACTGTTCAGTTCTGAGGATCCTGGTTTCGTTTATTACTATTATAACTATAATGGTTTCACATAATTGTGTTTTCCTTTCTGCATATTTTTTCAAAAAGAGAAGTTAGGGAACAAGTATTTCCAAGCTGAACAGATTATTTGCAGTAACAGTACAATGAAACTAAGGAATCGAGCAAAAGAATAAACAATATCATTTAATGTCATTTCAATTTGTGCCTAATTAATGTATGAGTGCATCTGATAGTTTATGTCAGAATTTCTCTTATTGTTGCTCCTTCAAGGCTAGTGGTCGTGATGCCCTTTCAGCTGAATTTCACCATTCGTAACGCTGCTCACTTGAACTGTATGAATCCATGGATGCTTTGAGGGCTGAAGCAGGGCTGAGGCACTGAGGCATAGATAAGGGTCCATCTTCTGGGCTGAAAACTGCCCCCCTCCTCCAGAATTCTGCTATCACCCCCTCTGGCCACAGCAGCAGCGTCAGTTAATGAATCAGAAAAAAAGCTGGTTACCAGATGTCCCAGCTTATTAACACGCACATCATTTCCAACGCATTCTGTAATGGCATTCTACAGGCAATCTGTGTGGAGCAGACACTGACAAACCTAACAGGGCCTCGTTTAAATGCATGTCTCAGTGCACAACTTTTCAAATGTAACTTTCATTCCCCATGAAAAGCAATTTATTAATTGCCACACTAATTTGCAAAGAAATACATGTGATAATCAAGAATTGGTAGGCGCATTTTCAAATCTTTCCTTCAGGACTCTTTTCTTTTGTCTAGTTGCACTAAAGTGTTGGACTTCGTATTTCATTTTTTTATTACACACAAGGAAAGAATTAGAACTATTTTGGTTTCAGCTGCAGCTAATTTTAATGCCACCCATTGTTCAGTTATGCAGTCTAATTTTATGTTAATGTCCTGAAAGTTGTCAAATCTTGGCAAAATCTATGCATAAATTACACAGAAAGAAAGTCACAGGAGGGGGTGTAATGGCTGTCACTGTTAACCAAGCCCATTAACAGTCAGAAAAGCACTAACCCGAGAACTCTGGTCAACTGCTGGAGAAATCTGTAAAACTTTTGTAATTAATGTAACATTGATGGGACTGACATCACATGAAAACTATCACTTAAATAAGCATTCGAATTAACAAACAAAACAAAAGCAAAAAAAATGTTTACAAACTAAAGAAAGGAATGCCATTTGGAAAAGATCTAAGGATATATGGAGTCATTTAAAAATAAACTGAAAAAAAAGCCTGTCGACCTCAGAGATTTAGATTGATTTGTCTAAACTAGTGCCAATAAGAGAATGTTAATGTTATATGAAAGCAATTCAATTCAGCAAAAACTTCAGATCTACTTTAAATGAACCAAAGTGTGTAGACAGCACTACCATCGATTTTTTTATGGCTGTAGATTTTTAATAGACTTCATGAAAAAATGTGGCAGACATACAAATAGATATTTGTGATTTTTTTCACCAATTCGAAATGACATTTTGATTCAGGTCAAACTACATAACAATTCATAAGAAAAAAATCAAATATTGATCAGAAAACACAAGTAGTAAATACCGATAATGAATGCCTGTATTGTGTCACCATGCTATTACATTTGGTGGATTGACTAATCATTGCATACCATTCTAATAATGAGATATTTTGTATTTTGTATTTTTCATGTAATTTATAACAAATTTATATGTAAATAATGACGCCAGAAAAAATAACTGTTTTGTTGTGGTTTTATTCAAGGAGATCTCCAGATTGAATGCTCACAATGTGTGACAAACAATACTGCATACAAATAATGCCAACAATAACAATGCTTTACAGTGAAGAAAGTCCACCCATCCATTTTCTAACCAATACAGGGCTGCTTTGGAGCTGAATGTATTTGAAAAAAATGAATGTAAAGAAAAAAAACAAGATCATCATTATAAGAATCATGCAAACTCTACAATGTTTTGTTTTAAAATGTGCTAAAATTAGTTACTATTCTGTAAATAATTTAAATTAAGGAGAGCTATGACTTAACATCCTCTTACTGAAAGTAACACTTCATGTTTTCACATTACACGCAAAGTGTTTTTCTGTCTTCTGATGTACAGAAATGTTTCCGAAGGTAAGGTAAACAGGATGTTATCATGTTCCCGTAAAGACAAAAAGAACACTTTAGAGGTAGTACACAGTTGCAGGGCCTTTCAATAGTATTCACACCCTTTCTGTGGTGTCTTGTTTTGTGAAATTAAAGCAGGCTACATGCACAAAACCTGAAAACTGAAACTGATCAATTTGCTTGATGATTTGCATAAGCTCTGTCAGGTTACTTGTGGATCACTAATGGACAAACATTTACAAGTGTTTCCGTAGAGTCTCAACAGAATTTAAGTCAGGACATTGACAAGGCCACTGAAGGACATGCATTTTCTTGTTCTTGTGTCAATCAAGTGTAAATTCGATCATGTGTTCTGAAAGAGGTTGTCCTCTAAGATTTACCAGCATTTTGCTCCGTGTTCTCATCTGTCTTGAAAATGTTCGCAGTCCCTGCTGCTGAGAAGCAGAACTATAACACAACAATGCCATCAAGCCACCACCATGTATGACCACAAAATACAATTTCTTAGTGATGGACTTCACCATGCACAAATAAATATTATATGCCTACATACAGTACAACTATCATTGAGTTATTTAGAAAGCATCTTGGTCTTCATGGTTACATTTTTGTTTAAAATTCACTACCTGACTAAGGAACTTTTAAGAAAAGGAATTCTTCAACAATTTTTAGTGTGAATATAGCCCTGTCTTTTAATCCGTCAATCATTAAATGTAAATTGTTCTATTTTCATTTCTAAATTTAATTTTTGACTTACAGTATTCACCATTAAGCCAGATTTCTATGACTGATATTATTGATGTTCGTAAGTTCCCAAGTGGCCAATAAAGATTCTAGTCATTTTGTGTTATGCATAATATACAGTAAAACCACTCAATAATACTGAATAATGTACAGACATTAGCTTCCATCAATCACTTGGCTTCTTCATAGTTGATAAAAAATATTCCAATGTTGTTTTGTATTACAACATTTTTTTTATTTAGAGTCCAGAATGACATTTACAGCAGTGATGTAGACGAATCAATGGCCAATAGGAAATACTGTACCTTGAAGAACCAAGGTATTGAGAATCAGTAATATGATTTGTCATTGACATCTGCTGTGGGAGCTCTGCCATGGCACACTGAAATGAGACTTGGTGTTTGATGTTCTGTTACAATTAACTGTTCATATAGTCATAGAAACAAGAATAAGTTCAGCGGTATTTAAACACGACTGCTTTTATTTGACACCTTGTTGTAGAAGATGAAGATGTCTCTCTTTATTGTTCCACCAATCTCACAGTAATGTTCTCCCCTGTGAGAGCTTAAACGTTGCTGTCAAGCTCCATATATTTCAGGGTGGTTGTGCTGTTAAAGCCTCATAAGCTAGCCCAGAGTCACAAAAATTGGGCTAGGTTTAGGTACACTTGCAACTCTAACATACAGACTTATCTTTGCTGAAGTTTATTTGAAGATACATTTGAGTATTTCCAGCTGTCTACCATCTGACACAAGTCCAAGAACAGCCTGTGACTTTTACATGAACATCTAAATTAGATGCCATTCCTTCAATTCAGTGTTTCTGTAATGTGATTTCACAACTCAACCACAAAAAGCATAATCTATTAGATGCAGCCTGGTAAATGATATAACATGAATTTACACTTTTTATATTGTTCTAATGTAGACATTTCCATGTTATATTTTAGAACATAAAGCATCCATTTCAAAATGTATTATTTTCCTGTAAATATCTGATAATCTAATCTACTTTATAAAGATACTGTAGGTTACCAGAACTAACTCACCCACTATGATTGCATAACCTTTTCGGATTTGTGGGGTATGTATTTGTGGGATATGCCTGTGTATCATAAGACAGGATCTCAAACCACAAACATCCACAAACATGCAAACACAAATAGCCTGAATGCTCATTGCAACATTTTTTTTTCAGTTAGTCAATAGTGAAATGTGAAAGATCCCCTTTCTCAAATACCCATTCAGTAATATTCAGTAATTTAGTCACACCCTAATTAAGGTAAAGAAGATGTATAATCTGAATAGCGAACTTTATTAGGGTAACACACCTAGTTTAGGAGAACAAACCTCCCTTAACCCCATTTTTAATGAAGTATCAGACAGGGAGCTGCTGCAAGGGTTGAAAATTGAGTGGAGGCAAGCAAGTAAGTAAGCAAAAAGAGGATAATTATAAGTAGGTAGGCAAAAATATGTGAGTAGGTTTTTGTCTCATGAAAGTATTCAAACCCTTGCACATTCTTCACATTTTGTTGCTGTAATGCTTGGAGCCATGAAACTGAACTAGTAATTAATACATGAGATATACAAAATCCACTACATTTAAAGGGAAAAACAAGAAAGTAAAAAGTAATTGCATAAGTATTCAAAGCTAAATTAATTTAGGTGCACAGAATCACTTTAATAAGCCAAATAATTGGTTTTGTGGCCTCTGTCTATGCACAATAATAGCAGTTCACATGATTTCATAATAAATTCATCTGTCAGCCTGTCTGTAAGGTCCTTAAGTTTAAGCAAATATACAACCCTGAAGACAAAGGAGCTGCCAAAACAACTTGTGGAAAAGTACTTATCAGAACAAAGGTATAAATGAAATTCAGAAATACTGACAATCCCTTTTAGCACTGTGAAGCTGAACATTAAGAAGTGGAATGTGTATCATACCACTCAGGCACTATTATAATCCTGCTGTCCCTCCAAAATGAGCAGACCGACAAGGAGAAATGCAACTGAGAAGCCAATGGTGACTTCAAAACAGTTATAGAGTTAAATGGCTGAAACTGCAGAAAATGTGCATGAGTCAACCATTTTCTAGTCACTCCACATGACTGGACTGTTTGGCAGTGTCAAGAAGAAAGCCATTACAGAAAACTTCCATCTCATACCCCAGAAGGAGTTTGGAACAAAACATCTGAATGATCTGAATTTGATTTAGTAAATCTTCCAAACATTTGGGAAAAGGTGGGAAAAAATTGTGCTACAGTACGTCTGACACAGACTGATCGCAGTGCAACAATTACCATCCCTACTGTCAAGCTTCGTGGTGGCTGT